TTTTTGTACGGATTTAAAGTTGTCAAGTGACTTTTTTTTCCCTGAATGAAGTGAGATGTGCAATGTGAAATCACACTCACAATGGCTACATTAGCTTAGGTTTCTTATATACTTATGTGCTATACCTTTATATGCTTTTCTAGAAACAAAAATGAGTGTAACAACAAAGAATCATGACCTCCCTAATGATACATATCCTTTTACGTATCTATTTAAGTAAAATCTTTGAGTTGTGGAATGCTATTTGAACTAGACAAAATATTTTACAAAATTCTAGAGTTTAGAGATGTTTGGCATATTCTAGTAACTCTAAGTTGTTTAGGGTAAATAATTGGTTTCAACTGAATCTTGGTCTAATCAATTTAGATGAATTTAATGATACTTAATTTTATAATTATTAACAATTATAGTTTACTCCATACTTAAAGGTTTGGAATCAATGTGTATCAATTGGTACAGACCAAGATTTACTGGTTTGATGGATGATTGGTATGTGGACCAAACAATTTCACTCAGTTCATTCCCACACCGAGCTTATCGCTCACCAAACTTGCTGCACCAAATTAACGGATGATAAGCAGACTAGTACCAAGTGATTCCATGTGGGAAACCTAACACCCTATACCAGTATTGTACTCTCCTTTTCTTTTTATCTTGTTCTTCTCTTCTGTTGCTGGTTCTGCTTTCATTGGTTGTTTGCATCATTGCATTTTCACTTCCCTGTTGAGGCCACTGTTCCTTCTTCTCTTCTAGTCTGTGTCGAAGTCCTTTCCTTTGCCACAATGGCATTGTACCTCTCCTCCACATTCTCCACCTCCTCTCTGTCTCTCTATGCTTGTAGTGGTCTGGGCAGTACCGACTAGTCCTGACCCCTGATGACACTCGCTACATAGTATAGTTTCAGTGTCATACCAGTTTGGCCATCAACTGGTATTTGTACTGAATCAAGATATCAATTCTTGCTATACTTCAAGAGTCTTATATAGTTAAACAATCAAAGTTCTATAATGACATGGAATGAGTGTACAGGCAGCAAGGAGAATATGTTTCTTCTTTTTCCAGGATCTGATAATAGTGGGAAAGAAACTGAGGTAAAAAATAATACCATGATGCACTTTGGTTCCTAGGTGTCACCCTGAAGGTCTTGGTCTTACAAACTTATGCATGAACAATGAAAATCATATTAACGGACAATTAATATTCTTAAGTATTTAGTTAATACTTCTTCCTAGGTGTCACACAGAGGGTTTTGGTCTTGTTCTTTTTATTATTTAGTTAATATTTTTTCTTATCGTTAGATAAGTACTAATTTTGTTGCCTGCATTAATGCTTTTATGCTCTTGAGTCAAAAACATCACCAGTACCCTGACATGAATTGAATTTTTTCAGATACGATCATCAACGCCCAAGGCTCTGAGGTCCGCTGTTAGTGATATCGGATCTGTTGTAAGCATGATAGACAGGATAGCAGGTTCAGCACCAGGAAATGGTTCAAGGGTTGCTGTCGGTGAAGATTTAGTTGCCATGACAAAGTGCCGTTTACAAGCTAAAAGCTTCATGTCACAGGATGGAAGTGCTACTACCAAAAAAATGAAGCGTGACACAAGTGCCATGCCCTTGAATAATGTTTCATCTGCTGGGAGTTTTAATGATAGCTTTAAGCAATCTTATGGTCTTGATAATTCTGAATTAGAGTCAACTGCAACATCACGTGTCAAGCGGCAGAAAGTTGAGGTGAGATATTATGCAGTTCATCTTTTGGTGATGTAATTTTGCCTTTTGTTTATTGAATAGGTTTTTCCATTAACTTTGATTTCTCAGATTGTTTGTAATTATAAATTGTTTTAATTTCTTTTTCTGCTCTCCTTTGAGCTTATTTTCCCAGATGTTGATTCATTCTTCTTGTATGATTCTTTTCAAGCAGCAATTTTAACTTTTAAACCCTAGCACTCTATTGTATTGATCCTGAACTTTTATCCTCCACTGTTAACAAAAGGAATATTTCTTTTGCAGATGTGAACATGTGGTTTTAATCGCACATGATTTGCATGAAATTGATCGAATTTAACTTAATTTTAAAAGGCATCACTTTTAGCATGCTATATGGGCAAGATCAGATTTAGCATCAGTCTGCAGCAGTAGATATATATGATATATGGAACTACTGTTAGATTGTGAGCTTTGTTATCTCAGTAAGATTGCTCCGACATGACTGGGACATTCGAGTCCTGGAAACAACATCCTTAGGATTAAGATTGAGCATATTGAATGAGCTCTTCTTGGAGCCTCATGCACTGGGATTCCTCTTTAATAGTGACAATGTTGCTATGTAGTTATGCTCATAATCCCCTTTAAAAGCACTAGTGCCTTCTCCAGTTGAACCATTTTAAACCTTTGGATTATTGGATCTCTATTTAACTCTGGCTTTTGGTATTGTAGAATTCACATAGGTCCACATTAGGGCTAGTAAGTTGTTCTTTCAGGTAATGTATTCATTTAAAAATTTTATTCAAAAAAATTTGAAATAAGCCATCCTGGTTGCACGCCAACCCAAAGTTTAACATAATGTTGAGAAGGCATCGATCTTAGCATATTATGTGATGTGGGTGAGATCAGATCCAACATTAGTCTGTAGCATAGTAGTGTACATATATAGTATATGTAGAACTGTTGGATTGTGAGCCTCGGTGCTGTAATAAGATTGGTCCATGGCTTGGGCATTTGGGTCATGGAAACAACCTTTTTCATTTCAGTGTTAAGGTTGTGTATACTGAATATCTATGCACACTCTGCTATGGCCAAATCTCTTACACCCGGTTTCCCCTTTTATAGAAACAGTTTTTCTATCTGGTTATGCACAGAATCCCCTTTAAAAGCACCATTGCCTTCTCCATCCAGTTAGTGCCATTTAGACCATTACATTTATTGGATCTTTCTCTATGTCTCACAATATTTTGGAATTACCGAATTCTAATATATCCACTTGAGGGATACTAAGTTTTATTTTCTGGTAATTCATCATTTAAAATTTCATCAAAAAAAATCTGAAATAAACCATTTAGTTGCATATTACTTGTATTGATGCCCATTTGACTCAACCCTGCAGCACACATATATTTTTCTCCTTTCTTCCCTCTATTTGTACACGTGCTGACACATGGATGTCCAAACAAATATCATTCATTTAAGACCTGGAAAAATTAAATAATGAAGAGCCCATTGTCTTCATAAAATTTGAAAGAGGAGTTAGCATGTTCTGATGAGCAATTGTATCTTGTACAAGGTGGAAACAGATCTAGTTTCTAGTTAGTATACTAAACTAAGAGAAATCAATTTCCAACTTATTTATAAAGAAACATGCTCATGAGCAAATTGATTTGTCTTCCCTTGTCATAATTATTTGCTTTTCTTTCTAGTCTCATTTTGTTCCTTCTATGACATGATTTTTTAGTTCTTATCTATTGGCGCAATACCTATTGCTCCTTCCCTAGTCTGTCAGATCTTAACACTTTGATCTGTTACGCCCAAGTGCAGGTAAATCATGCCTTGGTTGAAGAGATCAGGGAGATAAACCTGCGGCTGGTTGACACAGTAGTTAGCATAAGCGAAGAGGAGACTGATTCAAGTTCTGCTGCCTTGGAAGGTGAAGGAACAGTTGTAAAATGTTCCTTCACTGCTGTGGCCTTGTGTGAGAGCCTGAAATCTCAGTTTGCTTCGGAACACATGGTGAGCCTACGTTATAGAAAAAATATTAAATGCATACTTGGGTGTGCACACGTTTCTCATATTTACCTTCTGGTCATCCAGAGTCCAATTCTGCCCTTGAGGTTGCTTGTTCCCGTGAGTTATCCAAAATGCTCCCCTGTTCTTTTGGACAAACTTCCAGATGATCAAAGGTTAGAAAAATATTAGAATTATCTATTGGCCACTATTAACACACAGGAAACTGAATTGTTTCTGATATTTCTGTGATAGTAGGGAATCTGATGATCTGTCCGTCAAAGCAAAGTCAAGGTTCATCATTTCTCTCCGTGCCTTGTCACAGCCGATGTCGCTGGGAGAAATGGCGAGGACATGGGACGCCTGTGTCCGTAAAGTAATCACAGAATTCGCTCAGCAGACCGGTGGAGGAACCTTTAGCTCGAGATATGGTGCCTGGGAGAACTGTATAAGTGCTTGATGTTCCTTTGATACTGTGGACCTGTTGTTTGTAGTAATAGTTATGAAGGTTTAGCAGATAACTTAATGCATCTGCCAAACTAAGCTGCAGTCGAGCCAATGTAGTTGCAGACGGTCACTTATCTTTAATGAAGTAACTTGTTACAAAATCTTTTTGTATTCCTGCAATGGCATGTATGTATCAACAGTGTTCTACAGACTGTATGGACTGTACATATTGGTCCGCTAGGTTACCGACACATGAACCGTCGCAAACACGGCCGTTAGAATTGAAGATCCTATAGGATATTTTTTGTAGTTTTGGAACCGACAAATATAATTTTGTAAAAAAATGAAATTGGAGCGTTATCAATATTAGACTATTTTGGTTTCAGTTTGATTCTATTCTTACGTAATCAGAATAAAAATATATATATAGATAATCGATAGATTTTAGATTTGAATTCATATGAAAGCGTCATTTACATTGTCGTTTAATATGATAGAAGAACATTAATTTTGTAGAAAAGTTTGGTATATTTGTAATTATAAAAAAAAAGTATGTACAATCATATTGAAAATTAGATGAACAAAAAGAATAATCTCATATTATTGAGGATTAAAAGAATTAGATAATATAGTCATAAGTTCGGTTTACAATTTGCTTGATGAATAAAATTTGATCTAAATGAATCAAAATCGATAAAAGAATTTAAATTGGATTTCTTTTTATCTACAGAGTTGCTCGTGACTCGACTCAAGTCCGGTCCACGAAGGAGCGTGCCTTTGAACCGACCCGACTCGGTCTCTACCCGAGGCGGACCAGGCGACAGCACCTGCGACGGGCCCAGAAAGGATCCGAAGAACCGCTGCGGCCGCGGCCGCCCCTTTCGATCGCTTTGAATTCTGGAAGCAGAAGGGAGTGGCAGGACGGCTAAATCGAACCCCGGGAGCCTTTTCATCGCCAGTTGATTTCTGGTTCGAAGCCTTGGATCGATTCCCTTGCTCTAAGAAAGCCCAGATCCCGATTCAATCGCCTCAAAACGTAGAATCCGCCGGTCCTCGTCTCCCATGGAGAACCTGCGGCCCGTCCGCTGCAGCGAGAACGAGGAGATCGGGCTGTACCTCTGGAGAAAGCGGCAGGAGATGGTCGAGTCCAATGGCTTGTCGGAGAACCTTGACCAGACGCTGTCCAAAGCCTACCGCAGCATCTGCGACGCAAAAACCCCAATCAAGACCTTAAAAGACCTGTCCCAAATCAAGTGAGTCTGATTACTCTCGTTCTTCGACTACCAGAACATGTTCTTTCTCATAAAATCTTGTTCTGTACAATGGTCCAATTTGTTAGGGGCGTGGGAAAGTGGATTCTGAGGCTCATGCAAGGATTTTTCCAAGAATCTGTCGCCGATGTGCCTTCCACGACGAACGAGGCCCACGCAAAGGGTAACTATTGATTTGAACTTTCTGCTGTTTGCGTTTTCTTGAGCACTTTCGTCGACTTGGTTACATTTGTTGTTCAAGAAAACAAACTGTTACCTTTTCATAGGGAAGAAATCGAAGGAACCAAAACGTTATGTACCAAAGAAGAATTCAGTTGCATATGCCTTGCTGATTACACTTTACAGGTTGATGTCCTGATCTAATGCTATTGGTTTATGATTATTGTTGAACTCATTTGTCGAGTGGCACTTTTATTTTTCATCAGGGCAATGACCAACGGGAGTAGTTATATGAAAAAGCAGGAATTGATTGATGCTGCAGAAGCAAGTGGGCTTTCACGAACTTCAATTGCGTGAGTGGTTATTTTCACATTTTAATTGTCTTTTGAAAATGCTTTTCAACTCTTGCAACTAGAATAGATTATGCTCTTGCTGATTTTGGTGTTCACAGATCAGATAAGAGTAAGCAACCTGGCCAATTTGGGATTTCATCAAGGGATTGGTATACCGGATGGAACTGCATGAAGAGTTTGATATCAAAAGGCCTAGTGGTGAAGTCTAGTTGCCCAGCAAAGTAATATTCGTTCCCTCATTAAATTGGTATTTATTAGATAAAACTTTGAGTTTTATTTGATGAAATGGGCTTTCTATGGTAACTCATGAGACTTATTAGCAGTTCATTTTTCTTGGGATGCAAATTTATATGTTTCAATTTATTCCAGAGTCGCATGTGATGCTTTCACTGACATTGTATTGTATGTTATTCCAAGATAGTTTACAAGATTGATATTAGTATCATGATATTGTGATACCAATATAATAAGCAACTATTAGATATGTCATATAAAATACTCAAAACATTCTTCAGCTATTAAATATTATGTTAATTTTTGTTTTTCAAACTCATTGATACTTTAATTCTTCTTTCTGTGGTAATTATCAGTAACTTATGAATCTTTATCCTTAGCCAATTTCTTTCAGATATTAATTTCTATATCTCAGTTAATTATTTTTTTCTATTTGCATATTGTTATGTAGATACATGCTAACACAAGAAGGGCAAGAAGCTGCACGTGAATGCCTCTTGAGATCTGGGTCAATTGATCTTGAGCCTGCTAAAGCAACTTGTAGATCTCACAGTGCTCTTGATGGCCAAAGTGCATCACCTGTTGACTTGACATTGCAGTCAGCAAGCGTGAGCTGTCAAACAGAAATGATCGACATTCCAACTGAATATGTAGATAGGGTGAGAGCTTTATAGCTTGAATACTTTTATTAGTTTTATCACCAGTATATTATATTCTTCAGTTGATCTTCAAAGCTTGTTGTGATGACACAGTGGAACTCATGGAATTTGCTACATTAGGGCAATTTGTTTTCTCCTGTATCAACTTCTAAAAGTTTGTATTTCTGTTGAATATTTTGTTCCTAAAATAACAATTTGATATTGTTATTGTTTCAACCTGTGCTAACTGTTATTTCAATTTAGCCACGCAGAAGGTAATTAAAATCATGGTACATTAGGAAATTTTTTTCCTCATGGATCAACATAAAAGTTTGCATTTCTTTAGAATCCTTTCTTCCTAAAAGAGCAATTTGTTATTGCTATTTTTTGGACTCATGCTAACTGTTATCTCATTTTAGCCACTAATTAGTATGCATAAGTGGAACCCCTTGCATATGCTTTTACTTACTTTTTGGCATGGTCTTAGATGACTATGTGTGCTAAGTTTTCTTTACTTGGCTTTAAAGATTATATTTCTATAAGCAATATATTTGGTAGGTAACTCTTGAACCTGTTGTGAAAATCTTAACCAGTGTTATTTTCGTTTCCAAACTCTCCAGTATAAGCAAGCTGATTTTTTGGATTCTGATCATGATTCTGCAAATCTGGAGAAGTGTTCTTACTCAACAGCAGAGACCTGCATGCCTATAGTTTTGGGTATTTTTACTCTTAATGAAATGAGACTGATTTATTGCAGATTACATTCTTTAAATGTATCTTTTATACCATATTCTTATCCAAACTTGATGGTTGTTGTTCCAGATAGTATTGCGAACATCCCTGTAGGTGATGCTAGGTGCCGGAATTCAGTTTATGCAGATGCAGCTCAGTCCTCTTTTAATTTGCGAGCTTGCACTTCATTTGTATGTTTTCTTGGTGTTTGCCATTGTGACTCAATAAAACAGATAAAAATTCACGACGAGGCTAATAATGATGAATTTTTCTCGAAGATTTAGGAAGGTTGTAGCTGTTACAGTTAATTTACATTGGATTGCAGGATTCTCCTATGCACAAACCATCTGCTAATGATGCTACAAAAGGAAATGACAATGCTATTGCCATGCCACCTTATAGATCTGGGGAGAAATTTGAAGATATCTATGATGTTATTTTGATTCTGGATGATCGTGAAAACTTTGGGTTAGTATTTTTTCACAATTATATATTGTTAATTGATTTCTTTCTATAAATCATGATTTACTTTATTTTCTCATCATCTTGTAGTATATGGATTGCTCAAAGAAAATATAGAAAAGGAAAGAAACCATCAAAGTTTTGGATGTTCACACTGCATGAAAATTAAATGGACCAACACATGATTTGGGCTAATATTTCAACATATTTTGACTTAGGTTTCAGTTGGATGGATAAAATTACTTGAGGACGAGAACAAACGTTTATCATTTGTATACACAAAATTCCGTCTATAACCTTTTCTGAATATACTGGTGGACAACTTGCTTTTATAGGTCCTAGGGTTAGTTCAATTATTTCGTTATTGACCCAATTTTTGACTGTTTGTAGTTCAGAATATATCTTACTTGACTATACTGAAATATACCGACACTTCAAAAAATTTTAGAATTGTTTTTAAATTATAAACGACTATAAATATCAAAGAATAAATCTTGATCAGGTACCAATACCAATCAATGATCTGATTGATTTAATACCACATCATGTGTCACTACAGTTCGATACTAGATGGATTCGCTAGTATTGATATTGGCCCAATAAATACCTACTAAATCCTGTTTTATTCTTTTCCTTAATGGTGAATCAAATTCTTTAAGACCTTGAAATCATTCGTCAAGAACACAGTCTGAAAAGATTCTAAAATTGCTTGTAGTACATGATTTATATACTACGAATATATAATTGAAAATCTTGTAAATTCATGGACTTAAAACTATACAAGTCATACATTATTAATTGTTACTATTATCATAAGGATCGCTGTGTTGGAGTCAGAGGTGAGTCACGGTCCATAATGTGAGTCGATTGGAGATCAATATTATAATTTTGATACAGATATATCCTATGTTACTATTTGAATCAAATTAGCATTATCTTGACATCTTAGTCGCTTAGTTTAATTGGGATGGTAGCCCACTTGTTAAATATGCTGCTATGACTGATAAACTAGTGGAGTCGTGAGGCCACAATGACTATTGGGCGATAGAATTGCCATTGGCATAGCAACACCATATGCTCGGGAAACTAGGATCAAGTATTAATGTCGTATGTGACCAATAAAATCCATGATGGTAGTAAGGCTATGATTGTGATGAACTCCTGTCTGACCCAATCTTATATTCTTACCTATGTGCTCTCATATCTTCTTGGAAGTCATCAACAATTTTTACCTTGCCCTTGTCTTTTCTGCCATAGACTAATGGTGGACGATATGAAGCTATGATTGTTATCATGTGGGGCATGAGCAATTCTGCATATCAGGAACATGAGATTGTTGACCTTGGCCATTGTCATTAGTAGACTGTCTAACTAATGGAAATGTTTCTAGCTGATTCCGACCAATTTATTACTGTGATATTGACAACATTGATCAAAATTGAATTGGTCTGGGATGATTCTAATATAGATCAGTTGTATTGAATTTGGAATCAATCAATACTGTGAAGTGTGAACTATGGTTTGTAGATCCATCTTGTTCTATTAAAGTTCTCTTTGGGCTTTTCAACTTGATGATTCTATCTTTAGAACAACCATACATGGGTTAGTGGTTGTAAAAATCAACTAACAGTTTTCACCTTTTTGTTCTTAAATTTTTGTAGGTCCCGTTCAAGAAAAATTGTTGATAACATACACACTCAGTTCAACATCTTAGTAGAGGTGAGTTCTTTTGTTTACTTAGATGATTATACTGTTTTAAAACTTTATTTACCAGAGGTTAGTATTTGATCTTGGTCCATGTCACTTCTATGTATGTTGATGACATCACTTTATTTGCTTTGATAGTAAGTGGTTGTTTGTCCAACGGTACCTGATAACCTGGTCCTGCTGAGAATAGTGCTGACTGCCCAAAACAGCCCTCAACAGGCCCAAACAAGGCCCTTTTCTGGTCGATCATGTCTAACCTTTGACCACATAATGGTTTTTCTTCTGGGTTTGCTTCTGGTATGGGTCTCTCCATAACAAGACCTATAAATGCTTCAGTAAGAAGAGGCTAGTCTTTGTAGATTCAGGATGCTCCAAGTGGGTAGGAATAATAAAGATGACTTGATGCACATACGAAGATATGCTCTGATTTGATGCACATTTTTAACATATCCATCTGAAATTGATAGTCTTTTTGGTAAACAATAACAAATTGTTTTTGTTGATTTTCTTTCCAGTTTAGGCGTTTGCCTGTTGGAGATGGCATTTGGATTGCCCGACATAGAGGGTGTAACACTGAGTACGTGCTTGATTTTATTGTAGAAAGAAAAAGAGTTGATGATTTGTGCAGATCAATTAGGGATAACAGATACAAGGATCAGAAATTGAGACTACAGGTATTGGTTCTTATCCAGGTTAAAGATTTCCTTACCTTGCATGTTCCTGATCGAAATTGTGTTATGCTAGATTAGCCATGTTGTAGTAATTCATTTTTTAGACAGACAAAAATATTATCGTTGTTTTGGTCATCTTGTCGAGTGTTTAGTGTTTTAGAAATCAGTAATTTTGATAAAGTTGAATTGAAAGTTAATGTGTAGTTTAAAATTTAAAATTGTCACTGGGTTGCTATATTGTAGACTTGTAGACTTGTATATTGTAGACTTGTAGACTTGTAGTCTACAAGTCTTTGTAGTTTAAATTTAAATTTTGATAAAGGAAATCTTTGTAATTTGGTTGCCACTGGGTTGTTATATTGAAGACTTGTAGACTACAATTCTACAAGTGTTTGTAATTTAAATTTAAATTTTGATTAAGGAAATCTTTGTAATTTGGTTACATTGTAGATTTGGAGTTTATAGTTTGAAGTAACTATTTTGATTATTGCTTTACAAAGATTAAGTTTGGTACAAAGATCGAAATTTTGTGCCGTATCGGTGTACTGAGCTTTGCTCAGTATGGTATGGTACGACGTACTGAGTGGTACGCTTAATTTAGGCTTAAAATCCTCTCAAAATATCTAAAAATAGAAGAAAAAAAAAGAAGTTAGGATAGGGTTTTTAAGTTAGAAATAAATATACATTTAGTGTAAGTTTAGCAAAATCAATGTAGATTAGGTAAGAATAGTATCACATATCTTTTTCGGACTTTAAGGAATAGCTTTGTGCAAGGTTCATATTTCGATCCATTACGGATCGTCCTTTGCTTGTTGTAGCTTGTTTTGAAATAATTTACGTATCTTTATCGGAATCTTCTTGCATTTTGCAACATTAGGATCCCCGTCGGCCAAATGCATCTTCACCCGAGTTATTCCTCCACCCTTGTCAATGTTGTCACAATAAATACATTACTAATGATGACGGTTCTCATCTATCTTTCGGGCATGAATCCATGCATCATAATGTGGTTATTCTGTTGATGACATGATCCTACTAAATTTAAATCAAATAAGCTATAAACATGTTGAATTGACCTAATATCGATAAAAAATCATTAATCGCAGCATTAAATAATTTTATTAAAACATAACTAATCCTATTTTACTATCATAAATATGTGAAACACTTAAAAAAATTAAATACGTAATTTTGATCCAATATATATCAAATATGATGAAATCATCATTAAATACATTAATCACACGATTAACATAATTAATTATCTAGTAATTACTTCTTTTTCAACATTATAAACATATCAAACACCCTAATAGGTATTAAAGACATTGAATTGACTTAAAATCGATCAAATTTTGATTAAATCATCATTAAAATCACTAATTATAACATTAAATAACTTTAATAAAACCTAGTTAAACTTATTTTACTATCATAAATATTTGAAACATATAAAAGAAACATTAAATATGTAATTTTAATCCAATATATATCAAATTATGATGAAATTATCATTAAATACACTAATCACATGATTAACATAGTTAATTACCCATTAATTACTTTTCTTTCAACATTATAAATATGTCAAACACTCTAGTAGGTATTAAAGACATTGAATTGACCTAAAATAGATCAAATTTTGATTAAATTATTGTTAAAATCACTAATTACAGCATTAAATAATTTTAATAAAACCTAATTAAATTTATTTTACCATCATAAATATGTGAAACATGTAAAAGAAATATTAAATACGTAATTTTGATCCAATATACATCAGATTATGATGAAATCATCATTAAATACACTAATCACCTGATTAACATAGTTAATTACTCATTAATTGTTAAATCTTGGATTTTGATAATGAAATCAATTAATGAGTTTACGATCTAATATGTGTTTTGAGTGACGTAGGACTAACTTCGATCAAAAAAGGCAAATTGATTAAAACAAGAGGAATTGGACATTGGGCCGGAGTGAAACATGTCAGGAGATTAGATATCGAGCCAGAGGATCAGTCGATGCACCAGCTGAAAGACTTTGTGCCATGAGTTCGGGCATCGGACTGAAGGATCGGATATTGCGCTAAGGAGATTGGATGTTGGGGAGATTAACATGCTGATTGGGCAATACACTGAAGGAGAGGACGATACGCCAAAAGATCGAAAGAAGCACCGGATGAACCAATGACATGCCGAACAACACATGATTCATGCTTGTAATAATTTGTCTAGATTGAAGTAGTTTAGGTCCAATTGAGTTAGTTTTTAGTGTAATCAGGCTAACTCAATTAGGGGCCCATTGGGCCAGAGTTGGAGCTGTTTTGGGCCAAAAGAAAGGCTCATTCAATGATCCTTAGCTGGCCCAAGCGGTGGCACCGCCAGGGCTGGCTGTGGCACCGCCTGAGGCTCGACCTCCCAGGAACACTGTTACAAGTTGGTAACGGTTGAAATTTCGACCGTTTCCTCCCGATACAGCCTCGTATCATCCGATACCGGGCTATATCAAGCTTTCTGCCCGGTACGGACGGTTATCATTCGAAATTTAGAACCTTGGTTTGGTGTACACAAAAGAAACTATTCAAAATTTATGTTAGAATTAAGGATTGTAATTTTAGGTACCAGATCCTTTGTTGTTTTTCTGGAAGAAGGGGATTGGAGAGGAGGAGAAGAGGAGGAGAATAGGAGGCGGTGGAGAGGATGAGTAATTGTGGTTGTTGGTTTTCTTTGTTTATACTGGATATGGCTTTTATCATTTTCTATGAATTTATGCAGAGATGTGGACTTCAGAAACTGATATATTTGGTTGAGGGTGATCAAAATTGTTTGGAGGCAGCTGAAAGCATCAAAACAGCGTATGTACACAACTAATGTTGTTTTTTAAGTTAGTTTAACCTTTTTGTTCATTTCAAATTGCAAATGCTTTACCAGTCTATGAGCTAGCTGATTTTGTAGTTGTAGATTATAATATGTTTCTACCTGAATGCCACTTCATGAATTTTAGAAGTTTAGTGTCTCCCATGAAGTATATATGCCTAAACAAAAAACTTTTAATATCAATTCAATATAAAATTTTGGCAACCAGTTGAACCAGTATAGTATTGGTACAAGGTGATACACCAGTAAGGTGTTACATGGACCTAAATTACCCGACATCACCAGAGAAAAACAAAAGGTCAAATACCAACCGAAACTGATTAATATCATTTGCTACCCATTTTTAGTTGGATCAATGCATATTGAATATTGATCCTAAGTTAGATTGATAAGCACCAATCAGTATGTACCAATCCGATTGATATTTAAAACCTTGCTTAAACATGTTTTGTCATTTAAATTTTGTATTATGGTTGATTTTTAGCATGACTTGTTATTTTTATGATTATGAAAATTTTATATAGATTTCGTTATATTAGTTTAACATTTTTTTGGTCACTTACTATATGAAGATGTTCAAGATGTTTACAATGCTTGATGTGTTTCTTATATTTATGATTAAGGATCACCTTGCTAATTGAAACCAAGGTATGCAATACTGTATACCGTACCGGTGTTTCGAGGTTGGCTCGGTACGGTATCGTACCATGTACCGCTCGGTAGACCAGGGCGTACCGAGTGGTTTTAAATATTTCTTCCTCTTGCTATAGCACTGTAGCACGTTCCGTCCGGTAGCGGGCGGTCCACGTACTGGTATGCCGTCGGACCGGTACATACCGCCCGTACCGGGCAGTACTATTCGAAATTGCATACCATGATTGAAACATATCATGCTTGAATTTTTTTTGAATTCAGAGTACTTGATAGCTGAAAATGATTGTTGCTCTCAACAACTAGAGCATTTTCGAGCTCTCGTCATCATTATCCTCCTCTCCTTATTCTCATCCTCCCACTTTTCTCTTCTTTTTCTATTTCTTTCTTATGTGCCAATTGTATCTTCGTATGTCATGGGGCTAATTACTAATTACCCCTTGTAGTTAGCTACATTTAGCATCTCGATCCCTACACTTTAAAAAGTTACATTGACATTCGTATAGTTACGAAAGTGAAGCATCTAGGTTTATTTACCCTAACGCCGTCGGTTTTACCAACGAAAATATGAAAACAAAGGGCAAAAAGATCATTTTAACGTTCCAATTAGTGGTGGCGGACGGTGGCATCGCTGGGGGCCATGGGTGGCTGCTGTGGATGAGGAGAGCGGCGACTAGAGGTGAGGGCCGCTCGACAACTGTGTCGATGATGGGTATGACGGTGTACTCATAATCGAATTTTAAGGCCCACATTTTTCTTCTATCGTCGGAATTGTCTGTCGGGAGCTCGACAATTGCTACCATCCTTCCAGAGCTTTCCTTCTCGATTGACAACAACTGTAGTGAATAGGAGTCCTCCGACAAGCCCCCTATCTCCCCTTTTTCATACCTATGCCGGAAATGATATGGTAGCGAGGGGAGCGGTAGGAGCTTCGGGTCGAGCGACCCACCTAATAGGTTAGCTGCGAGGCGACCACCATCTTCGTCATTGACACCACTACGACCATCATCATCTGCATCGATGTCGATGCAATTGTCGAGCACCGAAAGGGTCGCCGATGCTGATGCCAAGTGGCTCTTTCGTTGCTTGGCAATTGCATCAGCATTGACGCAAGACGGTGGTGGCTCTAGAAGGTTGGCAGGTGAGCAATTGCAATTGCTAAGCGACTCTCCTCATCTACGATAGAAAAATGTGGGTCATGGAATTTGACGTTGAGTACGTCATCGTACTCGTCGCCATTGCAATTGTTAAGCGGCTCTCCTCATCTACAATAGTTGCTTGCGGTCCCCAGCGGTGTGGTCGTCTACCACCACCAACTGAAATATTAAAATTATTTTTTTACCCTTTGTTTTTGTGTTTCCATTGCTAAAACGGATGGCGTTAGGGTAAATGAACTTAGATGTTTCACTTTCATAACTATAGGGATGTCAATGTAACTTTTTAAAGTATAGGAATCGGGGTGCTAAAGGTAGCTAACATTATGGAGTAATATTTGTAATTAGCCTGTGTACCATGTGTTAGTACTTGCATGTGCAGACCAGCTTGACCAATACAAGCCAAGGCCAAAACTTGGAACCATGTCTTTACCAAGTTGCGCTTTATGTTGATATGGGTTGTTATTGGTCCTATCTGAACAAATATGCTGAAATAAATGCTAGATAGGTTTTTCTCCTTTATAATACATATTTGATCATGATTCCATTTCTTGTATGTTTTTATTAGCTATTATTAATCACTTCAAGAAGTAGAAACGTCCTAGTGGTTAGTGCATTGTTGCACAAATAATGAATCTCAAATTCAAGCCCAACATGATCGTCTTGTAATAGAATTTTTTTCTAATTTTTTTAAAAATAATCATATCAAAGGAAAATACAAAACTTCTAAGAAGCTGAAATTAGCTTATATACAATTCCAGTCATACATGAGATTGAGATTGATATTCACAGTTTGCTGCATGCGTAAATTTGTATGTGATGCCTGTCTTAAATATTACCTCAAGAGATGTGGCTGAAAGTCAACATAATAAGTTTCTTGAACCCAAAAGTGATATCTCTCTCATTACATTTGATATTGGGAGATATTGTGGTACATGTTAGTCAAGTGAGAAATTCATAGTAGCTTGATCACTAATGGGGCAGGGGGCCTACCTGTAGCAACTTGATATGTTGCTCCATTTGGTAGACATTAGAGATGGAGGTCTACTAGAGGGGGAGGTCATACCCACATTTGCTATTTGAGCACTACCGTTACTATCACTATGTTCCTCTTTCGGGCAATAGGAAGTCTTTGACTCTGCAAATTAGGACCAATTGTTGTTAGTGATTTTAAAAGGTGCTCGGGCGCTTGGGTGAGATGGGGCGAGACCTAAGCGCCTCGCATAGTAGTTGGGCGATGTACTTCAGTGAAGCATCGCCAAGGCGCTCGCCTGAACCCAGGTGCCAGGTGCCTTGGACGAGCACCTAGTTGAAGCAAAGCAACCGAACCAGATGATCAACTCTGGTTTGGTTGAACAGTAACTTAGTTCCCCCCCTCCCCCCAATAAAAAGGGTGAAAATAAAGCCTTGATTTTCATTAGCAGTGGCATGAGTAAATTTCTGCTTCCTTATCCATGCACCTCCACTTTGGATCTGGTAAATAAATGACCTTTTGTCACCATCGATACTTTTGTCAACATCATTGTCATTCGAAACCTCACCACTGGCATTCTATACAACGGTCCATAGAGGACTGGTTTCTGTGCCACATCAATATCTTGAACATTTGATGTTCAAATCTAGCATCATATTTTCCACGTATTGAGCCACCCTTCCTAGAAGCTATGATTCTGTCTCGTTGATCTAAGATTCTACATCCTGATCTTGATTTGTTTCAAAATGAACCTTGATGGATTTCCTACATCGTCAAGCTATGGATCATCTTAGTTGCAGATTGTCTATACTCCATCGTAGCATCTAACTCATCTTGTAGTAACTGGGAGAAAAATAGTTCTACCTTAGCCTCCTCCCTTTCTTTGTCCTTAGTCATTGATGCAAAACAAAGTAGCACAGTAGGGCAAACTTGTGCTCTAATTTTGATATAGCATCCACAGTTGGTCAAAGGGTAACATACTAATTCAAGGACATCTAAATCAATAAAAATTCAGAAAATGAGGGGTAGGTGACTGTGGTTCGAAAGAATTAGAAGCCGGAGGAAACTTTCTATCACAGAGATAAGATAGACTGTGGTTCATAACTTTGTATGAATCTTCTCAAGCTTCTTCGATTCAGTTTGGGATTGCACCAAGAGGCCAAAAACAAACTTATTTGCTCATGTTTGTTGACCGAGCAATCTTTCTCTACTCCAAAACTGAGTAGGAAGAGAGCCAACTGACAAATCAACCCATGCAGACTCACTTAGCCCCTCTACAACTTTTAGTAGGCATCCAGAGATGCTCCAATATGTCATGAGTTGATAATGTGCTAAAACAAGCATCTATATATTAGTTGCTCAAATAATATTGCTTAAAGGAATCAATGCTTGACATGTTCCCTATGTAAATTATTAGTACAGGTACTATAACAGATGGGAATTGCACACATGAGAGCTTTGGTTACAAAAGGATGAATGCGGTGATCCACTTTGATCTCATCTTAAATCTTGATGCTGAGGTAATGAAAGCTGGTACCTGGTCAAAACAAGGTGATGGAGATAGTTGGAATGTAGGTACTTCATTCTGACTACTTTTTGGTTGGATGATCTATGGTCTGCAAGCGGTGTGCTCGAGACTTAGGTGGTGGATCCTCTCTATTCATGCGTGTTGAAAGTATGTGATTCTTTTTTACCTTTGTTAAGATCAGCTTCTAACAAATGACTGGAAGGCAAGGTTTGCCCACTTTTATGTTGCCAAACACTTCACAATTGATGGGATGATGATAGCATTAGGTAGTGAGAACAAGGCTTATTTTTGCTAGGCAGGTCAGGCCTTGCATCAACATGAACTGAGTGGAGAAAGAAGTAAAAGGGAGAAGAACGTGATACTTTTGGCTTGTAATCAATCTATCCGATAGCGGAAGTATTTATGTGTGTGTGGCTGTTGTCTTCTTTTAGTTCTTTTATGGGCAGTATTCACTGAATGGGATGATGATAGCATTAGGCAGTGAGAACAAGGCTTGTTTTTGCTAGGCAGGTCAGGCCTTGCATCAACATGAACTGAGTATAGAAAGGAGAAGTAAAGGAGAGAACAACATGATACTTTTGGCTTGTAATCAATCTATATGATAGTGGAAGTGTTTATGTGTGCATGGCTGTTGTCTTCTTTTAGTTCTCTTATGGGCTGTATTCACTAAATAGGAAAATTTTACCTATTATTGATTTAATTTGGTTTCTTGAGTAATTTCCCATTGAATTAGGCTCTATTTGTATAATATCCGAAAAAAAATTGATAAATGATATATAGTTTATGTATGATGTGACAAATGGTTGACATCAAGGTTTACAATACTGTATGATATGGTTCTACAGGTGGTATTTACTGGTTTGACAGCTAGGGATTCGGACCAGGGTAAACCAGGTGGTACTCCCAATACAGGGCTTGTACCACCTGTGGGACAGTTTTTTTGGTTGTTTACAGCATTTCTTTCAGGTTTTTTTCCAAAACTTGGTATGCATTAACAATATTGGCACGTGGTACACCAGTATGGACTGGTATAGCACCGGTCCAAGTCATGACCAATACACTACCAGTACATGAAATTGTGAACCTTGGTTGACATTTGTGTGAATATTAAAATGAAGATTAGTAGAATGCATAGAGATGTGTCATGTTCCTTGTACACCTATGATGTAACCTGAGTTTTCTCAAGGCAGTTCCTTTTATATGCTGATATTCATAAGCATGTGAGGAAGAAAGCATAGCAAATTCATTTCTTAAGTTATGAAGAACTTTTAGCTGCTTTTCTCCTTGTGGCCTTCTTAAAAGCTCAACAGTTTGTTTAGTTTGCTGGAAATAAAATGAGATCAGCAAATACTAGTTTTTTTCCATATCTTTCTCAATGTTACTTTGGATCTTGGTATGTAGCAGTCTGCATGTTGTCATTGTCTCTGTTCCTGTAAACTTCAAAGCTGTATCATCTCATGAAGTTTCAGTACTGATGCCAAGCATGTTTGTTTTTTCAGATGTTTTACAACAGAAATATTGGAAGGATTTGATGTACAAAGGACTAGTGGTTTTGCTGATACCGTGAGAAGATATGGTTATCTCACAAAATCAATTATCCAATACTACACCATGCACTTCATTGACAAGGCTATGTGCTCTAGAGTTTGCCCTTCATATGATGAGTTTGTTAAGAAGTGTCAAGATCTTGAGAAGATGACCATTAGTGATGTATTTGCTCTCCAACTCATGCAGGTGATTGTGTCGTCATATTTGCTCAAGATTCTGTCCCTCTCAGAACCTGATTTTGTATTACTTTGCTGATATTGTGGCTAATCTTTTATTCTAGATTCTTACACGTGATAACTTCATTTTTGCTCCACCGTGCATTTTAAAGTGCATAAGGGATCATACATCTTTCTAATTCATGCCCTGGGTCAATGCTTGCCTTTCCATATTTCAGGTTCCACAAGTAACAGAAGAGATAGCTCTTGCAGTTGTAGACTTGTACCCAACTCTGCTGTCACTGGCTCAAGCATACTCCCATATTGTAAGAACCCTCTTTTATTGCTTTGAGGCCCTTGCTAATGTGGAACTTTTCCTGTCTTAGCTTATGGATAAACATTGTTTTGTACAAAGTTTTGTGAAATTGGTACTGATTTTTCATGTTCTTTAACTGTGTAGCTTTTAAAGAAGTTAAGGAAACATTTGTTGTCTTGCTAGAGAATCTTTCAGTTTCTTTTAAGATGAAAGCCTTCAAGCATCTTATGACTTGATACTGGCTGGCTTTGTTAGGAGGGGGACCTTCGTGCTCAGGAGGAATTGCTGAAGAATAGGAGTAAAATTATTAGTGCAAGTGCCAGCAGGAACATCTTCAAGCTGATTTGGGGTCGTTGATGTGTTTGTCCTCCTGTTGGGTCCTAATCTTGGTCAGATGAGCAAGCAAAGTCAACATCTCAATTATGCTATTTCACAGATCTCTTTCCACTGTGTAGAGAGGTTCTGGTGCTATTTGGTTCTTCTGTCAAAGCATGGCAAGCAGTTCCACCTTGCAATATTTAGTGGACACTTCCCTCTGGTTTAGTGCCATGTATCTTGTGTCAAGAAACCACTCTATGTACAACAAGGCCTAGCGCCCTATCGTTTGGAACCATTCCTAATTCAGGAAAGTCCTTGAGTGGAAAAACAAGCTTAAAGATTGAGAGTCATGCTTGGCTGCCCATGATGCAATGTTCAGTCTTAGGAATTCAGCCACCCAATGTAAGAGGAGAGCTACCTGTTATTGTAAACACAGTATTCTGTAGCTACAGACCTTCTCAGTTGAGCATATGTGGATCCAAGATCCAAGTCTGGAGAGAAAATGTTACTGGGAGGGATCCTCATCCAGCTGTTCTCAATCTTCTCGCAACATTTGAAGTCAAGGAGGTTGTTGGTGATGAACAAAAGTTCAGCTTGCTGAAGCACTTCACTTTGTTATCTGAAGCTGAGGGAGATTAGCTTATGCATTCCCAACAAATTAACAGCCGAACAGGTACGGGATATACTATCATCAGTAGACTTGGGAGTATAGTAAAGTGCTGATTTGAATGTTATCGAGATGAACAGTATAATTTAGATTTGAGATGGTAGTGACTTCAGTTGTTATCTTGGGATATGATGATCACTTCTCCCATGTTCTTATTTCAGCCTATTATGTCTACGGTGACTCATGTTTCTTGCCAAAAACGGATTTGGATAGCTCCAGGTATTCTTATACTCAAAGAGTCAATGTTTTCATTCATCATTCGTTTACTATATTTGATGCTAAGTGCTAATCATTGAAGCATGAACTGTATAATGTTTGATAAATTGGAAACCCTAAACTATAAATGTTACTTTTGTCAAATCTTCATTAAGGACCACTCAAAACTTTATTCTTTAATGTAAGAAGCAATTAAAGACACTCAAATTCATCGGATATGCCATATTGATCGAGGCTTACTGCGGATCATGTGGGAGCAAACTATCTTTGGAGTTTGCAGTAGTATGCAATGCCAGCTGAATTGTCTCAACGCCCCCTCCAGTATGTGACTTTGGCGTTGCTAACTCGGGATGGGAAAATGAGTGTAGAAGATGATCGAACGGGTTAGAAACAAAAGCCATTATCTATATACAAGTCAAAGAAAGAACAGTAGCTATCAATTTGTCTGCATATGCGCGGTGGAACATTGGGTTCCGTGATTGTTTCTTCCTCTCGTCTCATTTGCAATATACATCTCAACGTCCAGTGATATCACAGTGATATCTTTTCCTTCCTTATGAGATATCAGTTTAGCCTTTGTATTATTTTTTTTTCTCATATCATTTGATCATTATCGTCAAATAATCGATATTTGATATTATTATTTTTTTAATGATCGAGACTTGATGCATGAAATCTATCGATGACATGCGAAGTCAACTGCCATAGATGATGACTAAAAGTGATGTATTATTTTAATTTTTTTTGTTCCTACCGATCGATCCTAACTGGCGCGAAGAGAATGGAGACTTGTCCTCCTCATCGTAATCCCAGCTAGCAAGCACGGTGGGTGGCGGACATGCCGTTCGCTAGACGACGAGATGGGATATTTGGAGGCATCCACTCACATCCTCCATACGCTCCGTCCCCCCGTGGAAGAGACAAACACAAGCAGTCGTAGTGCTTGGTTTTTGCGAGGATGAGGAATAAAGCGACCCCGACATGAGGCTCCAAACCCGAGCACCCATTACCACGGTAGAAGACCGAGGCGTTGCGGACGGAATGGCTTCTCCTTTGAGAGGGATGGGCTGAGGAGTTCCATCTGCCGTTTGTGAGGAGGATTGGAGCCCGGGTCGCTGTCTGCTACTGCAGGAAACTTGGTCCCTGGAGCTCCAACTCTGAAAACCCCCTCCGGTGTGAATCCATCGAACTGCTGCTTCTCGTTGCAGTCTTGTCTTTTCTGCTGTTGCTTCGGCGGCAAGAATCTGTTGCTTATTGGGCTCTAATTCTCGTCGATCAAGCGCTCGAGATTTGGCCAGATTCATCTGCTTGCCGGAGCGGGCGAAGCGGGCGATGATGCCTTTATTGGCCGGCGTCGTGGTCCAGGACGACGGCTCGTCGTCGTCGGTGACTTCGTCCCCCCTCGAGACCTTGTCCCTCTCTCCTCCCTCCCTCTCGCCGCACTCCCCGTGGGTCCGCGAGCTCAAGTCCGACGAGCGTGGCCTCTGTCTCATCCACCTCCTCCTTGACTGCGCCAATCGCGTTGCTTCCGGCGGCAGTCTCGACCCCGCCAACGCGGCCCTCGAGCAGATCGCCCTCCTCGCCGCCCCCGACGGCGACGCCATGCAGCGTATCGCCTCTCACTTCGCCGAGGCCCTCGCCCGCCGCGCCATCCGCTCGTGGCCAGGCCTCTGTCACGCCCTCGACTCCGCCCGCGTCCTGCCGCTGGCGGAGGCCGCCGTGGCCCGCCGCCATTTCCTCGACCTCTGCCCCTTCCTCCGATTGTCGTTCGTCGTCACCAACCAGGCCATCATGGAGGCCATGGAGGGCGAGCGAGTGGTCCACGTCGTCGACCTCAACGCGTCCGATCCCGCCCAGTGGATCCCCCTCCTTCAGGCACTCAGCTCACGGTCCGAGGGCCCGCCGCACTTGAAGATCACCGGCATCCACGAGCACAAGGAGGTGCTCCACTACACGGCGATTCGCCTATCGGAGGCGGCCGAGCGGCTCGACGTCCCATTCCAATTCATTCCCCTAGTTAGCAGGCTCGATAACCTGGACATCGAGAGACTTCGAGTCAAGACTGGGGAGGCATTAGCCATCAGTTCCGTCCTCCAATTGCATTCCTTGCTGGCCACCGAGGACGTCGGCGGCCACCTGCGCAAGGCCCAAAGGATTGCACCAATTAGTAAGCTAACGTTAGGGGAATTTCTCGAGAAGGATCACTTGGCCAATACACATAGCACGAGCGCAGAGTCAGCAGCACGGCCGCCCACGAGGATCCAGAGTTTTCTTGCGTCGCTGTGGGGGCTGTCTCCGAAGATCGTGGTGGTCACCGAGCAGGAGGCCAACCACAATGGGAAGACGCTGAAGGAGAGGCTCGTGGAGGCGCTCTTTTATTACGCTGCGGTGTTCGACGGCCTCGACTTGACTGTGCCGAGGCAGTCAGTCGAGCGTCTCAGGGTGGAGAAGATGCTATTCGGGGAGGAGATCAGGAACATTATAGCATGCGAAGGGTTGGAAAGGAAGGAGCGGCACGAGAAGCTGGAGAGGTGGAGTCAGAGGATGAGCATGGCAGGGTTCAGATTGTTGCCATTGAGCTACTATGGACTGCTGCAAGCGAGGAGGTTGCTGCAGTCCTTTGGTTGGCAGGGTTATAAGGTGAAAGAAGAGAACGGGTGCTTCATGATGTGCTGGCAAGATCGGCCACTGTTCTCCGTATCAGCTTGGAGTTGCAATCAGTAAGATTAGTTCTCTTCTTGAAATTTGTTTTCATTACTACTGTAAACTTTCTGTTCTTCAGAAGTTTTGTTGTATGTAACTATCTTGCTCTTCCTGATGCACATTTACTAGCATAAGAGGATGGTTGTGTGTGTTGCAGCAACATGGTGGTGGTATTGTTTTCCTTGCTTCTGGATTTCACAGGGGATTTGACTTTATCATTTGCATCTTTGGACTCGTCCTCATTGCATGAATTTGAATAATATGTTATGATCATAGTGCATCTGATTCATTTTGATCAAGCTGACTTCTGTTTTTTTGTCACATTAGATGATTATTGCATCGTTACTACTGACAACAAGCTCCTTGTCTGCACACAGAGCAGAAAGTTTGAAGAAAAGAAGCACAAGTGTTGTGCCATAGAACAGAAGCTTTTTCAGCCACGGAAGGATAAAGCTGTGGTCAAACTGGTCTGCGTCTTTCTGACCTTCTTATGCTCTAATCTTGAAAAAGATTGAACTGGCTCTGTGCTACCTCTTTGGTTTATGAGTTTCAAATTCAGCACTCTTGGTGGTACTCTGAAGAGCATTTTGGTTCTCTTGTTTCAGATGCTGATGGCTTCCTAGTGGGAAATGAGAAGTTACAAGTATGGAAATTTGCAAGAACAATTCTGCATCCTCTACAGAAAATATCTTCCTAGGATTTTTTACTTGTAACAAACAGTGTCTTCTTATACAGGAATATGAAAAGTATGATAAAAATAGATTGTTGAATTGGAGGTTAGGTACTCCAAGCAATCTATTTTGAGAGTTCAGAGGATTTAGTACTGGAGTCATTGGGAATTTATGAACCTTGGTTGAAGAAAAGGGTATATAACATGCAGTTATTTCATCATTTTGACAGAAGTGCAAGATTTCTTTCTTTGAGACAAAGAAAAATAGTGAATGGAATGTAAGGAATAGCAAATTGACAAATTTTGTGTATTCTTATTTTATTCTCCTGCACAGTGAGTATCATGGCATTGGCTTGAACCAGTGGAAACTCATAATCTACGGGTTTTCTCTTGGATCGTAGACCGAAGAACAACTCAATTTCACCATCTGTCACTGGCCACTTGACTTCATCTATTTGTAAGTTTACAGTTGAACCTGAATAGATTAATCATCAATCAGCAAGTTATATTCACAAAAGAAAACTGGCTTTCTCCTCTGACTTCATCAATATGTTGTTTTGGATTCAATGAAATGTGTTTTTGAGTAGCAAAATGTAAAGAATGAGAAGAGAAACTATTGATTGTATTCCTCCAGATTTACTTCATTGCTTTATTTCCTTTTGCTGCACAGGTAAATGTTCAATCAAGCCAATTCTTATCTCTTCAGCATATCCATCTTCATGTTTCATGTGCTGAATGGTTATTTCATATCATAAATCCTAAATATTTTTATGTTTTATTGGATTGAACTGTGATTTATATCATATCATAATTATGATCTCTTTCTCTCTTAATGTGGTGAGCAGATAGAGGGGCAAGGAAACCTTCAAAACTCCACATTCTGCAGTGTATGTGAAGTTGTTGATCCTGCCTTGGTAACAATTTCTCAAAATTTTTGGAGCTATGTCAGTGGAATAAATACAAAATATGGCTACCTCTAAACAAAAAATTTATCTGACAATGAAGTCAAATAAGATTTGTCAGTGAATAAAATTAGAGTTTGACTTTTATTAAGAAATAGTTTCTTCTTCAGTTTGCCCATCAATATTTGACAAGGAAGTCACCACCACATCCATTAGGTGGAGCCACTTCAATTGACACCAAAGCCTATCTTTGGGCCCCTTTTTACATCAAAATGCTTCATCATTTAATTCTCTTCCAGTATTTCCAAGGAGCAATTTGACACTGCTAATTCAAATATCTCTTTCTATGCCAAGCTTGAGGCTTAATCTACAAAGTAGTTGAGAGTTCTGTTACATCATTCCTGAGGCCCTATGTAACATCTCTTGAATTAGTTTTCAGTGTGTTCTATGATAGCTGGAGATCCTTCTTAGTCAATCCAGGAAATCTGTGGCCCATACTTGAGCATTAGGATGAAGGTAATACATTTGCAGTCAAAGGTGTGAGGCTGTCATCATTCAGAGTGAGTTTTTCTTCTCTTAGGCATATCGCATTAAACTACCAGTAATTTATTAGAAGATCTGTTAGGTTGTCTGTGTGCCACATACAAGTTTAAGTTTAGAAAGACCTAACATACTTTAGAATTAAACCAAGTCCATGGATAATCTAATAATCATACCCAAATACTAGTTTTGCTCTAACTATTGATCCAAAATACTTCAGTCCAAATTAATGATGCTATCTCAATTTAAATTTTTTACATTTGAGGATATTTATGGTTAATAATTTCAATTCATTATTATTTTATTCAACTCCAAACCAATCGAATATCTAATCCTTCTTTGTTTATTTACATTTTGCTGAGCTCCCTTCTTGTGTTTTTTCTTGAGTGTTGGATTGCAATTTAGTCAGCATGTTATCTCTTCGTTTCCTCCATTCCATTGGGGACAGAAGCATTGCCACTTCTGATCCTTAAAGCTGGGAAGTGAATCAAAAGCCCAAGCATCTTAATTCGATTCCAAGCATGTTTAACCTATTATTCATGATCGTGCATTTACGATCAAATCAAGCAGAAAACTACAATATACTTCTCCTAAATGGAAAAATCTAGTCATTCTCGCTTCATGCATCCAACTACTCCAAAGAAATATGAAACATGCACGTAACCCAGCAGAGCAAAGGACGAACTCAACCACTTTGATGTCCACTTCAATTAAGCGTCTCATCCTATTATTCTTCTCCGAGTCTTTAGTCATGTGATACACGAGTAACCTCATCCCTTGAATCAAGATATTTAAAGTAATATCATTAAACATTTAGTTTTCTAATTAATAAAAATCTTATGATTCATATTAATTTTGAGGTTAATACTGAGATATTTATGAGGCATACTGTATACATTGGAATCAATATGTCAACATCTTAAAAAGTTGAATTCTTCTCCATTGCTTTATATATCATGTTGCGTAAACCTCAAGAGTCTTTACTTGTCACATTCCGTAAACCATAAGAGTCATGAAGTGATTTGAATCATGAGAGATTTATATACCTTAAGAGTCTTTACTTGTCACATCCCATAAACCATAAGAGTCATGGAGTGATTTGAATCATGAGAGATTTATATTTATAGTAGATTGTCCTTTTTTATATGGAAGGCGTGACAAATGCTTATAGTGCCTACTCGCTTAATAAGTCATCAAGTGTTAGCTTACAAAGAATTATCCATTTGACATGACTTTGTATAGTTTTATTCTCTTAAGATAAGCTTAAGAGACGCCTCTCAAGGTAGAGGGTGACTCCTACGCTTACCAGATCTTATTCCCTTACTCCTTAACTAATATGAAACTAAACACATTTATCATCACTCAACCACTTATATCAAAAATTCATATTTCTTTTGTGTCAAGTTATTTCTCTCTATTTTATGCACCTAACTATTGAGAGATTTGACAAAATGAATTCGATTAATACTCTTTAATAAGACTCCCGAAAGACTTCCCTATGAACAATTTACCATAATAAACTCATCAATCTAATTTTTCTCTGAACAAACAGGTGAACTAAAATATACTCCTAATTTCATGCAATATGTGATTTTGCAATTACGGATTGGAATCTACATTGAATATGTCCTTTAATGCAGCATATCAGAGATGATGTGCATTTTTATCTCCTCTCGAATGATAGTGAACTAAGCAGTTAAACATGACTTGGAAGAGTTAGCACTACAATAATCAACATTACAAGAAGCCATCTCGCAGCTGAATAAAGGATGAGAACATATGCATTCAGACAATTTAATCTGCTAAAGTAAATTTATGCTGGGATAGAAAACTTACCATATCATTTCCAACACATGTTTTCTATGCCTATTCGTGTGTGGAGGACGAGGATAATGCCTGTCACATAGGTATCTGTCGAATGATCAAAGGCACAGGAGGTGGAATGCAGCTACTTGTACTCCATAGACATTACAACTGGAGAGCAATAAGAACCATTCACATGTTTATGACCATTTTTTGTTTCTATTTCATCAAGCAATTTAAATTTCCAAAGACATTCTTCTAAAATAGTATCTTTTATCCAAAGGATACTAAATAGCAGCTAAAAAGCCAGAGATTGAAACAAACAATGGGTAGATAGCAGCTGAAAAGCCAGAGACTGAAACAAACAATGGGTAGATGGCAGCAACAAAAAAGCCAGAGATTGAAACAAACAATGGGTAGATGGCAGCAACTAAAAAGCCAGAGTTGGGTGGATAGCAGCAGCTAAAAAGCCAGAGATTGAAACAAACAATGGGCAGATAGCAGCAGCTAAAAAGCCAGAGATTGAAACAAACAATGGGTGGCAAACTCAAACTAGTCAGATGCAACATTTGCAAGAAAAATAAGAGAAAAAAAAACATAGGAAGCATGATTTTGGTTGTTCTATTGAAGTAAAGTCTCAGTGACTTACCATTTGTGTAACAAGAAAACATTTGCTGATATCTTCATTTCAACAGTACCAGAAACTTCTGATGACATTTTACTTGAATTTGATTCTCTAGTGTCTGTGCATATATCTTTTTCTCTACATTAAATATCACTTAATCTTCTCTTCACTTAATGTTTCATACATATTATGTGGTCCAAAGCAATACTGGCATAATGAAATATGACAAAACAACTTATTGCAATCTATCTATATTTTAGCAATATTAAGATAAGATACTTTTTTATATAAAAAAAAGTTATTGAAATTGGTTTTGTGCAATCATTATATATCCCTTAGATTAACAGGAAACTTTTATATGATTGTTATTATGCTATATATATTGAAGTGTTTATCAGATGAAAAAACAAAATTAGTATAGCTTAGATGACAATAGACAAATTCAGCATGCTTAAAGGCATTAAAAGAAAAATCATGTCCTAGAGGAATTTAGGTTAAATAATGGAATGGAGCACATGTGAAGCATGTGGGATCACAAATCATAAGACATTATCATAGAACTTCTGAAGAATAATATGGTCAGTGAAAATTTCTAGTGTGTAGATTGGAGCCTGGAAAATAGTCTGTGGTAATATACTATGCATGAAACTAGCAACAAATAAAAAGAAAATGAGCCAATAGTAAACACGAACAATCCAAAGCTTGCACTGTTCCCTATATCAATTCTGCTCACATGCTTACCCTTGCAGAAAACCCACCAACAGAAAATACACTGTAGCCATTGATGATGCATCTGATCTGTCTGCACCAAGTAGAAGCTACTCAAGGAGAGACAGAAAAGAGCCATCAACTTGTCTGGTAGTGTTCACAGGCATCTACTCTCAACCTTTTTCTTGGAGTAGATTTGATGCTAATGGTAGAAACTCGATCCTGCAAAACCTAATCCTACATAACTAGGAACAAAGGAAGGCATATGATTTTTGTGATTTGGATTTGGATTATTCTAGTTCTGTTGGATAGAAGCTGATAGTAAAACAAGGAGAAAAGATGAACAAGGAGTAATAGCTATATATCACAAAAGCTAGCACAGAAACATGCTATAAGATCATCATACAAAAGTGTACAGAAAAGCTTCTTCAAGTGAAGACTGCTCTGAACCTACAAAAGGGTGATGTCGTGTAGTCACCCTCAATGTTGCACTGATGGAAGACAAGAGATTTATGTGTCTACAGCAGAATGATCCTTTTGGCTATCCTAATATATTGCAGAGAAAAGTTTAGCACCTTCAAGATGGCATTGCAGCATTGAAAGCTATGTATAAAGGAAAAAGAAATGTTCAACTGTTGATGAGACAGCTTCTTGTCTTCACTATATATATTATATATTATATATATAGACCCAAACAAACCTACTCCTACGATGGATGGGAAAAACAACAGTGGTAAACTATTGCAGTAAATAACCTTCTGCATTCAGTGCAAAAGAACAGTTCATATTAAAGATGGAGAGAGAGAGAGACAGAGAGTGGGAGGAAATCGACGTCATAAACAAATATAATGTAATGTGGAAAACAAAGGCTGGGAAGACCAGAAAGTGAAGAGATTGACCTTTGTCGCTGACCTCGATTTGAATCCCCCCCCACCCGTTCTGGTGTTTGATCAGCAAATACACTAGAAAAGAAGAAAAGGCAAAGCCAACAATCCAAACAAAGGTTCTATTAATTTCTACATGCAGCTACACATGCCACCTCCAATAATGCTGCAAAACAAAATACACTGATTCAGAGGACATTCCATTGCCTCTTTGACTATCTGCCTTGCGTTGAGTATCGGATTAGATAGAGGAAGATGCAGTCGATGTGAAATTGAATGATGCAAGCTTACAAGGCAGCAGTCACGGGAAGCCATGAGAAGGAAACATGGTCGACAAGCCGATGTTACCGCCGCCGCCACCTTGGGATCTACTGCTGCCGTCGTCATCCTCGCCTCCATCACTCATCTTGCATCCCAGCCGTGCGGCCATCCCTAGATTCAGATACACCATTCGAGAATCCAAGCTGAGGTTGACCATGCTGCCGTTTGAGTTATTAGGGGTGCAACTGGTCGAATCCGGATGCATCGGTGGATAGATGGCCGAGTGAGGGTGGCTTCCGGCACCGCCTCCGCCACTTTTGGCCTCCTCACGCGACATGACAAGCGCTGCCGATTGGACTAGCTCGAGGCAAAGCCTTAGCTTGTTCGGCTCGATGTGCGTCAGGCCCGGGACAGCTCCCTTGAAGAGGAAGTCAGAGGTGAGGTTGCGGAGAATGTCGAGGGGGGTCACGCCGTCGAACGTGCGAACGTTGGGGTCGGCGTGATGGTCGAGGAGGACGGCTACCATGTCGGGGCACACCATCTCAGCGGCGACGTGGAGTGGCGTTTTCCCTGCAGGGCCTGCACGGCAATTGACGTCGGCAGCGCCGAGCTCAAGGAGCGCCTTTACCACCTCACGGCTGCAGTTCTCGACGGCGTAGTGGAGGGCGAGGGCGTCGTCAAGGTTGAGCCCCTCCCCCATAACCATCAGCTTGACAAGCTCGACGTCGGACGAGTCCAGGGCGCGGCGCATCCGGCGGATCTTGTGGTGGTCGTCGAGCTCGGTGGAAGGGCCTGCGACTTCGAGGGCGTGGTGGTGAGGTATGAAGGAACGGCGGGCGAGGGAGGACTTGAGACGGAGCTCCTCGATCTTCGCCATCACATCGATCGGCAGGTGCTTCGCGAGCACCTCCGGCGGGAGTCCGGACTTGGCGACCAGGTGGGAGCAGGTGGTCCACAGCTGGTGCATTTCTTGCTTCCTGGACGCCATCAGGACCTTCATCACGTCCTCGATCGACGCCTTCTCCACCATGCTAGCCAATTGCTTCTGCACGCACCCAACGAGCACCCAAAAAAGAGCATTAGCAGCACATTCTGTCAAACAATGAATTTGATGTTTTGGCTTGCATTAAATATACAAGGGATGAGAGCAGGGAGAGTCCCTCCGGGGAAGAGAGAGAGAGAGAGAGAGACGATTTGGTGACGGGAGCAAAGGAGGCACCCAATTCAAGAAATGGCTGGAAATGCTGCAGGGAGTGGGACAAGGAAAGGATATATCCGTTACTGGGAAAGGAAAGGCAAACCCTAAATTTAGGGTTGGTGAAAGATGGATCTAATTTTGATTTGGAGGAGACATAATGCAAACACTATGGCACACAGCATAGAAGGTTGCTGTTTACACAGTAACAAGAGGGGAAGAGATTCAAGAGGAAGAAGCGTGAGGCAAACAGTGGATGGAGATGTCCCAAAAAGAAAAGCACATCCGTCACCAGTGAATGTACCAAAGACGGGGAAGGGAAAAGGGAGGCGGCAGCGAGCTGACAACTCCTAAAACAAGAAGGAGGAGCTACAAGAAAATCCCTGTGATCTGACCACGTGAGATAGCACAACGGGCAGATCTGTGGGCGGCGGACCTGGGTGAGGAGCGCGAGCTGCTCGACTCCGAAGGACCGGGAAGCGGTGAGGGTGTCGAGAGCGAGGTCGACGGCAGCGGTGCAATGGGTGTGCCAGCAGCCGCGGTCGCTGCAATTGGGGCGAGGCTCGTGCTTCTGCGGCACCAGCGAGACCTGCCCGCTGTACATGAACTGGAGCATCAGCAGGAACACCTCGTAGCTGACGGAATTCACCGGGATCACGCTGCCGGGGGAGGAGGACAGACACTGTGAGGCCCCGCCGGTGGGCGACCGCGGGCTGTGGTGTTGGTGGTGGTGATGGTGGTGGAGGAGGAGTAGACCAGGCGGCGACGATGGCTCGGCCCCGCAGAAGAACTTGCGGAAGAAGAGGCTGCGGGCGGCCAGGATGCAGCGATGGGCGTGGACGAGGCGGCCCTCCACGCTGAAGGTCACGTCGCTGAACGCCTGCCCGTTGATGAGGAGGTTGAGGTAGTCCAAGGAGAGGGACTTGAGCGACTCCTCCATGCCTTCTCACCGATCACGCACTCACCCCCACTCACTCTCTCTCTCTTTCTCTCTCTCCCTCCCTCCCTCTCTCTCTTTCTCTCTCTTCTTCTTTCCTTTCTTCTGTAGAGAACACTTTGTCCTATTTGTCTGTGCTCTGCCTTCTCTCTCACACACGCACAGTAACTCTCTCTTAAGGTTCAGATGTATCTGATTACAAGTCTGGATGAGAAAATTATGTCAGTGGAAAGAGATGACGGAAAGATCGCAAAGAAGAGAGTAACAACAATGATTATAGCGAGTCTGGGACTTCATTTGCCTTTTTATTCCTTCCTGCATCTCTTCTTCTGAGGCTTCTGCGTCTGGTCCTTGTTCTACACCTATCTGCGCTTTGTGGTGGGTTGAGATTTTTCGTATGTATTCCTTTTTGTTTTCCTTCTATTTCCCTTACGAGAGAGAGAGAGAGAGAGAGAGAGAGAGAGAGAGAGAGAGAATGGGGGAGAAGGGAAAGAAAGAAGATGAGGAGAGAGAAGCCAATTTGGGTGGTGCTGCTGCACCGCCGAGCTCCTAAAATAATTGAGGTCAGAACGCAAAATAAACCTCGGTCGGTATCCTAAATTACACGACCGAACACCGTCTCCAATATCTAATTAAAATGAACGCTGCTTTCTTTATTGGTTTGTCTTCGCAGTCTCATCCTCCACAAATAACATGGCCGAGTCAAAAGTCCTAATCAAGAAAAAGTAGGATGAGTTTGGCCAAAACCTAAAGAGACAGTTGCGTCGCAGCCATCACTACAAAGAATCTTGGCCTTGATAGTATGTGCTTGTCATCTAAGCTTACCAGCAATCATAGGGGAGTAAATAATAATAATAATAATAATAATAATAACTAAGAGAGAACATTCTCCGTGACATGCTTTACTTGATCAATCTGCTTCTGATCCTCGTTAATTTTTCATCATTTTTCTCTGAGATCTTCGACCTTTTACGGATGTATCCTTCACACAACAAACGAGAGATAAGGAACCTTTGATATTTTAAATTTTATTTTTAATGTTTATCATGTTAGGTAAAGCGTTAAAAGTATATTCTTCCAATTCTAAATAAAATAATTTTATGGGAGTACAGAATTGATTTTTCTCAATCATACACTCAAATTAAGATTGATTGAGGAAATAAGGAATATATGGATATTATTCTATTATGATCCGAGGCACTTAGAAGCTCATTTTGAATAGCTCTGATTATATTATATTTAATTTATCGATAGAATCTTTCTTAAGATTATTATAATTCGATACAATATAAATTGCATCATTGTTTAAGTACCTCTATTATTGAATACTATGATTCAGGACCAATAAATATAGATCAGTACATATAGGTATTTGAAGCTAATTAGTCACTAAAAATGCATGATTATGTACAATATAGTATCAAATTATGTAATAATCATTATATATATATATATATATATATATATATATATATATATATATATTATCTTCTTCATCAGTTAAAATCTAAAATATTACTCAGGATGGGATGTCCAATGGTCCTACACATTAATTTAGTGTCACAATTTCTTTGCTGTTGGTGTTGTGCATACAACTCCACAATTAAAACAATTGAAAGCACACCAAATGCCATAAACTCGTTCAAAACAAGTTGATTGTGTTAGTAGCTCTCATCAAGCATGACAATGACCCGATTCCATTAGAGAGATAGAGTTCAGATGTGGATTTCAAACTTACCCAATAGTTCAATAAGAGAGACAACAAACTGATAGAGACTGGTTCCTCTAAGGCGAACCCTAATGGATTACACCCATTAGAGTCTAACTTAGTTAGCCAAAGAAAAGAAGAGGAGGGAAGGTGTAATGTGGACCGGTGTCTTCACTGCCCCCTAAGTTTCTTCCAATTATTCACGCTTTGATGCTGACTGGGGAACCTTTCGATCGAACGGTCGATCTCAAGCGTGCCCCACAAGCCTGACGGTAGAGACGCGTTCTGAACTCCATGAGCAATAATTCTCGCAGAGAAGCCGCCGGACTCGTGATCGGAAGGAGCAACGGGGCCACAAGGGACCTCCTCGGCGAAGCCACCGCAAGGCGGGTACCTGAGCTGGGTTATCGACGAAGGGTTAGCTTCGAGAGCACAAACAGTGGCGGTGGTGCCCCACCGGAGATGGATGCGTCCAAGTGCTTCGAGTCCCGCTTTTTCTACCGAGTGCAACACCTGATGGTCGATGTCGGACTTCTCTCACCACCTGTTCGACCCTTTTAACTCCTTGGTGATAGAGATCGGCGACTGCTAGTGGCAGGTAAACCCAATTAATGACACCCTTGGGTGGGGTCTCAGACCCTGGATAGTGTGTGTTGCATGACTGATGACCTCCTTCCTCTCAACTAACGGAGGACCAGTTTGGTTCAGAGTTGCAGGGGGGGTTTATAGAAGTTTGGGTTGGTGAGAAGTCTCACTGCCACGGTCGAAGCGACTTCAATAAGAGGGTGAAGGCTTAGTAGTAACAGTAGAAGCCACTTAAATGAGGCAGAGAGAGAGAGAGAGAGAGAGAGAGAGAGAGAGAGAGAGACGGTGTAAAAAGGAAAAGACCAGGCTCATTGGTGGGGCGAAGCTCTGCGTCGTGCTTCCCGTCCGGGCCGACGTCTTTTACTTTCTACTACAATTGCTGGAGTCATGGGGACTCGCGCCGAGAAAGAGAGAGTGAGAGAGAGAGGGGGTGGGGGAAACGACAGTACTGCACGCCAAACCATGGCCTTTGCTCGAGCCAACATAAAGCCTTCCCGCGTGCGAAACGTCACAGTCCACACGTGCGAGACGTACGACAACACCTGTACGTGAAGTGGGAGCAAAGCCAGAGACGAGAGCAGAGGAGGGAGGTAGGGAGAGTGAGTGAGTGAGAGTGAGGCGAGGAGCGAATCAGGTTGATTGACGTATCACTGACAGTCTTATGATTTGAGGCGTTGGAAGTGACATTTGACTAGTCGTTCTCCACACCGGTGACTTTCTCTTCCATCCCATCGCTCCCCTCCTCCTCCTCCTCCTCCCCCCCCCCTCCTGCAGCCGCTGATGCAACTGCGCTGCGGTCGTCTGCTCTCCGTCTCTCCATCTCGCGAGTGAGGGGTCGCGTGGAGTAGTGTGTCTCCGTCCTTTTACTCTTTCCCCTACGCCACACCAGTCTCTCGTGTCATGTCGTGTACACAGACCGAGAGGAGGTCATATATGGACATGCGTACGTACGCCGTGTGGGGGCGATTCAGCTCATCCTTTTGGTGCCGTAGTACCCCTCCCGAGCTGCAGGCGTAGATCTACACGTGTTGCTCTTGCTTTTTGTCACTTTTTTTGGGGCCGGTGGTCTCTCGTTCTTGCTTCGCTTTCCCTCGCTTTGGTCCGGTCATGGCGACTTCGGCGACCGCGGCCGTGTGGCTTGGAGATGCAGCAGCTTTCTTTGTTGCAGGCGGTACCTTAAACTAATCTAAAGCACAATCAACAATTTGGTGATGTTACATGAAAGAAGCATCTCAATGATCTGTTAACTTCTATTAGTCTCCTTCAAAAGTTGATGGCAGTATCCTCCAAGCAATGCCCTCACAGTGGCAAAGTCATTACTGTCCCCCCCATGCTGTAGTTGTATTGTAGTATCCACAGGTCATGATGGTGTCTCTCTTCAGTTCTTTTAGCCATCCTAATTGGTTTCATGCACTAATACTTTACATCAAAATCATTGTCACACCTTTTATTATCCGAAAACAGACACCATCTATTTGAGAGATTGAATATTCTCTTTTATCATCACATATATTGATCCCTCGTAACTTCTTGCAGCATAAATGCCATGCAAATGTACGTGAAAGCCTGAGAATGTATGTTGTTATTGAGCTGATCAGAAGGTCTATAACCAAAAGAACATAATTTTCCTTTGATCCTTTCGTGGTGCAAACAAACAAGCCGCCAAAGGCCATGATTCTAATTTGTCATGGTTTCTGAACTGTGTAGCATAAGATTATCCCAGCATCAAACCCATACGTCTCATATGATACATTTGTATTTTTCTGAACGTATTTATACGAACATCTGTACACCCACGTCTCATCGTATGCCACCGTCCCTGTGTGCTCGAGAACGTCCAAACAAGCACAGCATAGTCAACGAGAAGACAATGATCAGCAGCAGTTAATTTAGGAGAGGAACGGATCTCGAGGTCTAGGTGTCCGTGGGGCCTACCCTTCTAAACACGACATGGGAAGGGGACAACACGAGGCTAATGATTAATGGCAATCTGCTGCGTAACGGATAACGTGGTCCGACAACTCTGCCAAATCTATTCTTTACGCAAATCATGTTAGATTAGACTCCCAATAGCCATCACCTAAAATTACGGTAAGATTTATTATAACCCTAAAGGAGGAGGTGTCCTACCGAGCTAGAGAGGGTTCGAGATCTTTTTGGAGCAGTAAACTAATGGTGTAGTGTCTTACTTTAATGATCCGATCGTTGACAACTCATGGACTATGTGTGTGTATATATAAAAGAAAATTCAAGATTCCAAGTGGGGTTATTAATTTGTTGATATAGTAATCAATGCGTTGATTAAGATGATGTTGGCTTGCGAAAAAAAAAAGGAGGTAGATGAGATACTAATTTAGTTTTATACTTAATTAAATAAGGTTAATTAGTTTAAGGATATTTTGTCTGTGTCCCATGATAATATCTACTCGAATAGAAGGATTATATCAAATTATATCATATATTTAATTTGATATAATATTTAACTGTAGTGCGAAACCACAGTTGTGTTTCCATCGGTATGATTCTATCATTGATGTGCAATACGTGTTTAGATGCTATACTTCATCTTAAGAGTTCACAGTTTGGAAGTTACTTTTTGATATTTCGTTTACTATTTTTTTCTCTTTATATTTATTTATTGTAAAAAATAATTACTCCTACTTAAGTGGCATCTCTATTCATCACACTAAGCTCAATCTTAGTTAAGGTTAGATCATAAAGTAAGCACAAGTTGCACTGGGTTAGGTCCTGATAGGATGTATTTTTCTTCTTTGAAGGTGTTGATTTGTAAGCTATTTAGTTGTCATCTCCTACCAACCTCATAAAACTTGGGTTGAACCTGTTTCAAAGTGATATGACCCATCTCATAGTAACTCGATAGTATCTAATATCAAGAGAGTAGGATACATCTTAGAGAGACTAAAGAGAGGAAAAAGAAATGAAAGAAGAATCACACAATGTAAGCAGTCATTAAGATGTGATTGAAATAATATGCTCATTTATATTCTCACCCTTGCAAACAAGGGTTTATACTTATATAAATTAAGAAAAGAAAATATGATATAATAACATCAAAGATCTTCTGTAACATGAATTTGGATATTCGAATGAATGCAGCTAATATAAAAATAATTAGCTAAACATATATTATATTTGTTTTGGTGTTTCCAAAGTCCCATCAAAATGATATTTAAAACATAACACTTTTGCCAAAAATTGGAGTAGCCCAAGTTAGTTGGATAACCTTGATTTGGATATATATAGATTAGAGTTAGACTAGCCCAATTAATTAGAAATGTCACATCATCTTTTTAGTGTTGAATTCTGTAGCTACCCTCTAATCTACTATGTATTTCTGCTTTGATCACTAGATTATGGCTCTACTTGTATTTCCATTGGGCTTGAAGTTTTTTTAGCTAAAAGAGGGATTTTGTGTGGTTTTGATATATATTGGAGCAACTTCTCTGATACAAAAGTGAGAGTTTCATGTGCAGACCCCAATTGAAAGTTCTCCTTGTAAAGCAATTCTTCTTTGCTTCTACTAGACACCTGTTGTACGCCCAGTTCTCCTTTTGTCGCTTCCAACTTTGAAGACAAAGGGGAAGAGAGGAGGATGAGAAGTACCGACAGTGTGAGCAAAATCTTACTTGTAGCTCTCACCGTAGTGCCCAATCTTTGTATGTTGTCTTCTTTGGCCTCTCCTATCCGTCATGAAGTTACTTGATGAAGTTGCTTTCTGATCGATTGACTTGTGGAGTCACATAGATCGATTAGAAGCCAAAGTAGATTGTTGATCTTCTCCTTCTTCTACTCACTTCCGGTTGATGTGAGGCCTGACCTGCCTAGCAAAAATCAACATTGTTCTTCCTACCTAAAACTATCATGCATCATCCCATCAATTGCCATATGTACAACATTGCCTTCCAGTCATTGGGTAAAGAGCTGATAGAGTAAATCTGACCATGTTAATACTTCCTCCATTATTGAACGATTCATCTCTCCGAGCTCTCGTCCTGTCCGAAACAGCAGTAATGGGGGTTGGACCCCATCGGGCTGAGGTGGGTCTCGAGGCTGTGGGAATAGCATACTTCCAAATTAGCGCATGATGAGAGAGGATCCACCACCAAAGTCTGGAACACACCGTTTGCAGGTCAGAATGGAGAAGAAGAAGAAGAAGAAGTGCCTGACTTCCAATTCTATCGGCATCACCTTGTTCTGACCAGGTGCCAGTTTTGATTGCTTCAGCATCAAGATCTGAGATGAGATCCAAGTGGATGATAGCATCCAAAGCTCTCATGTGTGCGACGCCCCCATCTGTCATTAGTGCCTGTACTAATGATTAACAAAGGGAATATGTCAAGCATTGATTCCTTTAAGCAATATGTACGTATGGTCTCAATGGGACATATATGGGGAACCTTCTTTACCTGTTGTCCATTGCCAGAAACTCGTACTACCTTCATCTCCATCTCCTTCTCCGTCCTCCAACGATTCCGCGTCTCTCTCTCGCATTCCTGCACAGCCTTTACGGTTCGCGTCATCATCATCTCGTGTTGTCTACATCAGCCTCTCAAACCTTACTCAGCTTGCACACAAGGGTTGATTCGTCAGTTGGTTCTCTTCCTACTCAGCTTAGCAGTCGAGGAAGATTGCTCGGCCAACAAACACGAGCAATTAAATTCGAATAGAATCGAAGAAGCTTGAGAAGACTCATACAAATAGATAGTCACCCAATACAGCATCCTTACAATGTAACTTAGTGCGCAAGAGAGATAACATAGATCGATGCAGACCACATAAAAACAGGACAAGAAACCTGACAGATCTGGGTCACAGCAGCCGGTGAAATGACGGTGGGATTGGGTCATGGATGGACCACTGGGAATCAGAAAGATAAACACATCTGAAAGGAGAAAGTGAGAGCGAATTCCCATGGGAAGGACCACCAAGCCGAGGAGAAATGAATGCTGCAGCACAGAAGGAGGCATTCCACCCTCCTCATGAGTCATATCTTTATATTGCCGAGGCGGCTTCTGCTGCTGCCGAACACCGAAACGTGCCATGGTCCCCTTTCCTCCTGTAGCAAGAAGACGATGATAGATCGCAATAATATGGGAGTACGTACGTACTTACATACGCGAGACCACAATGCGTGGCTGCCGCAACTGTCTTCGAAGCTACGTATCGATCGTACGATTCCGAGGCGTGTCCGGCAGGGCGCAGTCGGTACACCACGTACGTACGTGAAACTATGCATGCATGGCGCTGCCGTGCGCGAAGCCGACGTTGGTGGTGTAACACGGCGAAACGTGTGCGCCAGAGGACCGCAGGCCGGTGCAGCAGGGTACATACGTGCCGCCGTGACCGACGTCGGCCTGATGCGTCGCCATCGACCCTCCTCTGGCTTAGCTGTAGGTGATGAGAACAGGACACCATCTCATCATCATCATCATCTTCTTCTTCTTGCTCTGATGCGACAGAGAGGACCCGACCTGCAAGTTAATTACTGGCTGAAGAGTACTAACTTGTACAGATTGCATTCGGCCACGAAAGCTCAACAGCAAGTACGCACTTTGTGGGATTAAGCAACGGAACCATCAACAATCACGGCTAGCAGAGACTTTTAGACCTCATTATCACAGGGGTTAGACTTATAATAATCCTTGCATTCTGAAGACGGATGGGGAGCCACCTGAACAGTATCTAGTGGGATGATCCAAAATAATAATAATAATATTAAAGTATAGAGTTTAAGCTTAATATATATAATTTTATTTTTTATATTTTAATTTTTTATTTTTAATATATAATTTAAAATTATTAAATATACTTTAAAAAGGCTTAATTATAAGCCTTTTCCACTTAGACAAAAATGTTTAAGCTTAATTTATTTGTGTAGATCCATCTATCTCTCTGTAAATTAAGTTAGGATTCATAGGATTTGATATCCTTGAAGACAACATGTGGCCCAAAATCTTGCGTTTGCTACATTGACTCAAGCCCTATGGGCAAATAATCCTTAGTTGGGCCTTTCACCATACATTTGAAGTCCTAAAACTGTCTCTTGAAGGTTATGAAAGATCTTATCTAGTCAGTGCAATTAGATTTAAATTCTCTTAAAATCATTAGATTAGATCTCTCGGAAGTTATGATCATAACCCACAGTTTTTTCATCTACACTAACCATATCTTAATAGCATTAATTTTATTGCTAATTTTAAACCTTAGTTTCAATCTTCATAAGAAATTCTAATCCATAAGGATAATGTAAATTAATAAATAAAATAATATTCCAAATGAATTTTAGACATTTTATTAGATTGGGAATTTTTTTTAGCTAAGATTCTATAAACAACCCATTTAAAGTAGATTAAGTTTTGTCTGTTATAAAACCCTCTCCGTAATCTGTTGGTTGTGAGTGTGTTTATCGGGAAAAACCCCCCTTTTCGTCGACAGGCAGGGAGGAGTCACAGTGTCGCGGTGGGCGAGGTTTGGGCGCGGTCATGGCGGTGCCGTCGACGGACATCTTCAAGCTGGGCTTCATTGGCGCCGGGAACATGGCGGAGAGCATCGCCCGCGGCGTCTCCAAGTCCGGCGTCCTCCCGGCGTCCAGCATCCGCACCGCCCACCCCCGCCCCCAGCGCCAACAGCTCTTCCAGTCCTTCGGCGTCAGCATCGTCCAGGACAACGCCCAGGTATTATTTCTCATCCTCCTTCTGTTGCCTCGGTCGATTGGATATAAACGTGTTCTAGGTATGGAAGTTCGACCGGTGATTCTATGTTTCGTTGTATTCGATTTGTGTCTTAGAACTCGAGCAGACAAGAAAAACATTTCACCGAATTCGTCTATCATGGGTCTTCATTTCTTGATTAAGTGTTTTTTTTAAATTTCTTGATTTGTTTTTCAAATAAAAAATTGCTTTTTTCTTTTTTCAACCAGCATTATCTATTACCTTTTCTATCCCCCTGCTTTTTATGCGTGTTGATAAAGACACGAACCGAGGCGTAAATGATTATTGAGTGCCATGTACTTTCTTATCAGTTCCGAATTATGCAGTCTATCCTGCAATTAGTTGAAAGTTTGATGTACAAACACATGAATCTGAGGGGTCAGAATAATCTTTGAGGCATTGGTAGTTTAGGTTTACAATGGTACATGCATAATCAGATAAATGATGTAATTACTAGTTTATTCATCTAGAAAGGAGTACATTGGTTCGTAACTCAAATTTAGTACAATTTAGCTTGTGCAAACATGAATTTTCTCTGCGATGTTGCTTGATGTGTTTTCGTTTCTTCTCACTAGGTTGAGCATTGGCAACCATTTTGAGATTGACGTATATTTACCTCTTGAAAGTTGCTTCAACTGTATAACATTGGCATGATCGCAGTTCTCGTTGAACTATCAAGAGTAGTGAGAAAGCAAGAGACTTTAAAAAAGATCTGCCAATCTTTCAAAAACTGCTTTGCCATTGTTTTCTATCATACTGTTGTCCTTTGACTTTTAAAACTTACGTAAACTGATAATAATATGAGAAATAACTGACAATTACCCTTTCATCCTGAGATGTGAGGTCACTAGTCAAATGAAACATCAGATGAATGTCTTCACTTCAATAGAACTTATATCCTGAATATAAGAATCCTACCAAACATCAAGGGCATCAAACTGTGGGTCTACAGCTTTTTTTTTATGATTTATATGCTCTTGTACTTACTAAAGTGATGTTCATGCCATTTTCTAACTGAAACAAAACTTAAAAATTGCAAGATGGTAAAAACAAAGTTTGATGACAATCTTGCTTATCTTGAGGCTCTTTGTTCTGTTGTCGGTTGACAAATTACTTTTTTCAAAATTTAAAATTTATGTGTCAGTAATTTGGATCTAAAGAGGAATGACAATTATAACAAAAAGGATCACATGGAAATTTGTAGGAGGAACTTTACAATGGACAACCATATGCCTTCTATTGCCAAAGAACAAATGTAACAACCCATATAAAACTATAGATTGTAGGCACAAATATTTTATGACTTTCTTCTTGTCATGTTTGTCATGTTCAAGAGACTGAATTAGCTAATTGTTTTGGTATGTGCAAATGCTATTGTTTTAGTTCTGATCAGCTGGGGAATGGCATCACTCATGTGGTAACATTGACATATCTAGTTCTACAGTTTGTATAGTCAACATTTTTGGACCATATGCTAGATAACAACCCCTGTATTTATTAGATACAAGGACAATTTCAATTTTTTGATACATTATCTTTGGTGGCAATTTCTATTTTCTTATGGGTTTTTTAAAAATTTCATCAGTAATATGAGACACTTGTATGCTAGTTTGTGCATTCTTACACATTTGCTTTTCTTGATTTTGGGTTCATTATGTCCTTATTTTCATTCAATTGACTTCTTGCAAAGCTAATCCATTATCAGAATTGTATAGATTTGTTAATTGATGGTAAAGTACCTAGTGATATTTTGTGTTGCAATGTTACCTAAGTCAAGATCTTAATGCACTTAATTGTTTCAGACTAAGATATCCATGCTGATGTCACCCTCTTCTCATTATGTTGTTGATTGTTGACTTCCTTTTAATTTATGTTATCAATTTTTCAGCAATTTGATATTTTGGCATTTAAAAGTAATTAAAGCCTTCTAATAGTCAATTAATTTGTTAGCTGTTGAGTTATTGGTTAAGGATTGCTTGGTAGTTATTTAATTTCTGATATTTGCAAATGTTTCTTATAAAATAGGTTGTTGATGACAGCGACATAGTTATTCTTTCTGTGAAGCCTCAAGTTGGTATGGTCTTGTCAGAAACTTTCAGAAGAAGATCTATCTTGTTAATTTTTTTACAAAAAATTAAGTTTGTTGATTTACATCTTATTATAAACCATTTATTTCTCAAATCATAAAAATATTGCCATTTTACTTGATTTTGAATTTGTATGCATGGATTTAGCAATTTTTTGTGACTTAAAGATGTTTTGGTTGTAATATACATCATCCTTCTATCTTTTATAAGTTATGTTCATGCATAATAAGATCTGTAGGGCTGGAATGATGTGGTGTTTTGGTACATTGCAACTTAGGATTATGTTACAAAACTTTTCTCTGTATGCATGCAGGCATGCTCATGCCTTTTTAATGTGCCCCTATGCTGGCTGATACACATAAAAAATTGTCCTATTCATGTTCAGAACACTGTTATGGCTAGGCACACTATCGTGTCTAGGCAAGCTATCATGACCATGCATATTGTGTGCTAATATCTTTCCGTTACATGTATGTACTCATGTTGATGCACAATAATCATTTATCACTTATTTTACCAATACTTCCGATTTATACAATCTTTACATTGTGTAAACAGTTAATTGAAAAGAAAAAGGTTAAGGTAAAGCTTGCTGTGGAAAAATCCCTTAACCCGCGAGTCCAAACAAGGGAGAACTAAATTTCTCACAACCTAAATGAAGCAGGTGAAAAATCAAATTAGCTCATAGCACGTGCCAAGAGCACACATTTCTTAATGTACAAACCCGACCCAAATAAAAGAAATGATGCCTACATCTCAGACTAGGTATAATGCACCAAGAACAAAACAGGCGCTTACCTTACAAAAAATTATATATAAATCACTAAGACAAGAATTCCAATCAAAACATCAATTTTAACTCAACATATATGCTAGATGATGACCACTACAAGATGGAAGAGGGACGACAGTGGTGGTGTGTGTTAGCTGCAGGGTTAGGAAATGGGGTGAGAAAGTGAGGGAAAGCAGAAAAAAGGGAAGAGGGAGGACAGGACAGCAATGATGTTGATTGTGAGCTGTAGAGAGAGGAGATAAGCAGAGGAATGAAAGAGGGAGCGGAAATAAGTGAGAGAGGGAAGGAAGGCTAGTGGTGAATTGGGATTATAAATTGGGGATCTTTTTGTGACGTCTTCATTTTTCTATCATTTATATTCTTAATTGGGCAGAAAAAAGGGTTGTTTTGTTTCTCCAAAAACTTTAGCTTACACAGAATACAAACCAGAATTTTGTATTCATTATTGTAATCGATTGGTTAACATGTTGGTTAACTGCGTTCTGTCTTCGGACAAGGCGCAGCAAATGGATAAGCCTATTGATACTGCATTTTTAGGATCTATAGTAGATTTTATTGATATCACTAATTAGCAAGTCTCCATGCATCTCTATTTTGTTTTGATAACTATGATAGTGTCAAAATTCCAAGTTCCCAACCAGTTATCCTTGTCAAATTTTGCATTCTAGCTATTTGCTGTGATTACTCTGATAACAATTTGCACTAAATCATGAAAGTTTTCCATAGTCACTTAGTTCTGGTGGTATCTAGTCCAAATGCAGCTTGTTGTTTTGGACCCATTGTTTTATAATTGTTTCATGGATATTACACATATGAGACATCAAACTTATATAAAGGATATTTATTTATGATTTATCTATTTTTTTTGTTCTTTGCAATTTTGTATAATAACCAGTAAATTCCATGCTCTTTTGTATAGAGAAGAAATGGTTGTTAAAACTCTATTATGCCACATCTGAAATCTATTGATCAGCTTTTATCCACTTTAAAGCTATCTTTTATACTTTCAAAAGGGCACGATGTACAATAATGTTATCTTTTGTTGTCTATCATTCCCTTGCATGTCTTCACTCTTTATGTCTTATGCATAAACTAAAGGATGTGAAATGTCTGATGGGTTCACTGCTTGATTTTAAATGTTATTTGGAGGTCAACTATCAACTTTCATGTGCATGGTGACATAGTAGTTTTTGGTTTTGTATCTTGTACAGTTTGAATGTGCCATTTTGTCTGCATTTTATGTTAGTATCTTGTTAATATATTCTAAATGCAGTTAAACAAGTCTTACTGGACCTGAAGCCCTTTTTCACAGAAGAAAAACTTTTGGTATCAATAGCTGCAGGAATTAAGTTAAGAGATTTGCAGGTCTGGTTTAAAATATCTTGCTGACTTGTTGTAAAATTGTGCATGTTGTTTCCTTGAGATGAATCATGAGTGGCTTTCTTTTGATTGTACATTATTGGTATTTATCATCTTTCTAGTAGTTATGAGGAACTACTGGTATAAATAATGGAAAGTAAAAATTATTAGGTAAAATATTGTTGTTTTACAATGCATGAAATAATGCTAATCTTTGTCACTAAACAGTTTTGCTATTACTGCTGCGGCATTCGCTTGTTTACTTCAAAGTGAAATCTATATTAGGGCAGTTATTCTAGTATTTCATTTTTCTCTTGGCACAGTTTCACGTGGCTAATACGTAGCAGCATGATGAATGTCGTCATTATATACAGAAGCCAATGAAATTAGTAAAGAATGATATAAGAGTAAGTTGGAAGAGACTAAAGTGATGAAGGCATGCAATATCTGAATTTTCTATTTCATGATAATTTTGCCTATGTTGCTTCTTAATCAACCATATTGTCACGGACAAATATGTACAAAGGGTGTTTGTTGTAATATTTGTATGTGTTCATGTCTTTCAGTTTTGTTCATGTTTTGCACAGCATATGAAGGACTTGTAGTAGGCTTGACACTCCCATTTTGGTTGGTTTTTGTAGCTATTTTAGTCCTGTAAATACATGTTATGTACAGTCGTCGCGTCGTGGTAAAACTACCAAAAGTAGGCTATATATATAGTAATTTTAGGGGTTTTTTAGCTCCATAAAGTGGTGTGGAGTGTCAACCAACATAGTACTGTGGAGCTACTCAAGTGGCACATTTGGGGTATTTTCTAGGGCTAGTTCGTTGTCTTGTTCTACAGTAGTGTCATGTGTGCACTTGTGGGGATTTCTGATCGCGATAAACCACCTTGGGCCCTTTATTGCACGATTGTTATAGAGCTTATGATGGCTATATTTATGATTTGCGTTGCTTATCAAGTGTTTGTTGAAATGTCTACTTGCAGGGTCTCAAGTTAAACGCTTCCTCTGACCTATCTTCTCTTTTACAGGTCTTTTAGAGATCATAAGAGGTTTCAAGGAGATTGACCTTTTGCGAACGAGCACACAAGGGTGCCATATGACTTGGGCAAAACTAGCTAAGCCCGTGGTATATAGTATCAGAACAGGACAAACACATTTAAAAACACTTGCATGCAAATATGGGGGATCTAGTGGGACTCCGTTGAGGATAGCTAGCACGGGCGACTGTTTGAGGGGAACATACATAGAGATGCAGGGAAAGGAGCGATTTGAGATTGACATTCAAAGGACTGGGCAACCCTTCAAGTGAGAGGCACCATGAGGACAAGCCAGTTGGGAAAAACGCATAGCACACAGAGGTTGGGATGATTGAGTTTAAGTTATGGCTCAATGTTGGTAACCAAACTTAACGGTGCTCTGAGGCAAGCAGAGCACCTTGCCAAGGATGAGATCGTGTAAGCAAGTATGGGTTGCTCAGTGACTAAAGGAGTTGTGCAAAGCTTACAGAGATGAGGGGAATTGCTAACTCAAAGAATTCGATACTCATGCAATGATGCAAGAGCTTGTATGTGGATGAAAGACTATCTGTGGCCATCTCAAGGCGATCGAAACTCGACGCTATAGAGCATGAAAACTTTCTCTTTGGCATAGGAATGATACCTTTGTAGGAGGCTGAAATGTGCAGTAATTTCAACATGTTGCTAGGCCTTGAGGGGCGCGATGGGGATTGTATTAGTGAAGAGTTGCAATCTAGTAAGTGTGTTTGTGGTGACGGAATAGTGCACAATTTGTTTAGCTAGGCAGAGTAGTCCAAGGAGATAGTGATCTCCGAAACTTCTAGAGGGAGGTTGTGATGCGAAAAGTTGCTTCAATAAAGCAGATATCCAAGAGGGATGAGTCTCGGGTCTCCAGAGAGAGAATCATGCTGTGAGGAGTTATTGCGTGATTTCACACGAGGTAATGCGTTGGTGGATGCATTGTGAGATCAAGTGGAGGACCGATCATAGACAATAAATGAAGGCACACTAAGCCGATATAAAGATCGGACTCGATTGAGGGTTGACCTGTGGAATGGTGGGCATGAGAGCCAACATCAACTCAATGTGAATCAAGGAGTGGAGTAACTTAGGTGGAACTTAGTGAAGTACCTAAACTGCATGAAGTGGGTCGACATAGATGATAGAACATAGAGTGGAGGTGTGAAGCTTTTCTTGGACATAGGTCAAAGATATGAACTCTTGCAGAGGTAAGAGCGAGATCATGTCATTCCATAAGTCCTTCGTTCTGATTAAGCGGACTCATCTTACATGGTCCCAAAGTCGAAGGGAGCTTTGAGGCACATGCACTTTATCTTGATGAAGCAATTGACGGAGAGCTAATGCAAATCTACTTGTGGAGGTGAAGTTGGGGTTAGAAGACCTTGGCATAGAGTAAGAGGACGAGGAGGTGATGCAGCGTCAACAAAGGCTTCGACGAGGACGTCAAAAGAATAAGTGGGAGAGAATGTTATAGACGAATATGTATAATTCAATATATTGTTTGTGTATATTCATGTCTTTTGGTTTTATTTATGTTTTGCACAACATATAGAGGGCTTACACTTGGCTTGACTATCCCATTTTGGTTGGATTTTGTGGTCGATTTAGTCCTCTAAATGCATGTTGTGCAGTTATAGCGTAGAGGCAAAATTATCCAAAAACAAGCCATTCAGGCAATCATCTTGGGGGTTTTTTAGCTCTGCAGAGTGGTGCGGAGTGTTAGCCAACACAGTACCCTGGAGCTACTCGAGTGATACATGGCTAGATGGGCTTTTGGGTATTGTCTACAGTTGGTTTGTTGCCTTGTTCCACAATAGTGTCATATGTGCACTTGTGGAGATTTTTGGTCACAGCGAATCACCTTGGATTATTTGTTGCGTGATCGTTTAGGGCTTACGAATATATTTATAATTTACAGTGCTTATCAAGTGTTTGTTGAAATGTTAGCTTGTAGGATCCCGAGTTAAACTCTTCCTCTAACCCGTCTTCTCTTTTGCAGGTCCTTAAGGGACCATAAGAGGTTTTAAGGAGGTTGATCCTTTATGAACAGACAATATGGACCACTTAAAATGGTTAACAATGAAACCCAATTCATTTGATATTGACTTGAAGTAACTGAAGATGGATCAGTCAATTATGTAGCCTTGAAATTAAAGAAAAATAGGTGTTTGGAATTGATTCAAAGGCCATTGATTAGATCCCAATCCTCCCTCACATCATGCGTCCTTGTATTACTTGGTGCAATATATATTTATCAATATGAATCCACACCATAAATGATGAAAACTAATAAGCAATTCAAAAAGTGAACGATTATGATTTATGTCATAGTAATTAGTTTGAGGATATATGAATTTCATCCATCTTTTTTGTTCATTTTCTCAGTATCGATTCTTTCATGATTTGTATAGACAATAGTCATTGAATTCAACACAGGTAGGAATAGAAGGATATATTTATATATCAATCCAGTTATGTCATTTTTTATTAGTCCCACATTAATAGTTGATAGTGGTTGGTTTAGTATAATAAGGCTTAATTGGCACATTTTGGGTCATGTGATCTAGAGTCTTTTGTTAGACGTACTGTGCTCGTGGGCCTAACGAGTTGGATGGTGGTCGTTGGTATTGGAGTAGACCTTGTGTCATGGATATATGAGTAGGCAGTAGATAAAAAAGAAAGTTACTACTTATGGATGGTTTAAAATGCACGACACAGCATAGGCCACTACCTACACCTCATATACAAACTATAGCTAAAAGATTCTGAGATATGTGTCAGTCCTTGACAAGGGTGTATTTTGTTTTGAGATTGTGATATCCTCTATAACTTGACACTAGATGGTGTATAAAGTTTGGACTAGCTTTGGTAATTTGGATTAAGAATTTAGGATCACATGGTTTAAGGCTCATTCTTATTGAGTTACCAGGCTAGTGTGCTTGTTGCGCTTAATCATGACCATATTATTATATCAAGACTAGTCCCTTATTGGAACTGAATTGTTTTGGGAACACAGAATTTTATATATGATTTCATACTTACTAGTAACTGGGGCTCATGCATTCAGATACTGTATATTGCATGATAGACAAACAACTTGGTCTCCAACCTATTGGACTCATGTAAAAAAGGGCGTACCCAGTGCTCCCGCCAATGTGAGGTGTTGGGAGGGTTAACGTACAAGCCATGTCTTTTGAGCTAAATCAAAGTCATTAGGGTCTCCAACCTATTGGACCCATGTCTTTATCCAAAAAAAGTGGATCAATGGGCGTACCATGCCATGCCATAACAATGAAAGTCGAGCTTTAGCAAGGTTAGACAAGTTTAAATCAAATCAACTTTTGAGCTAAGCTTGATGGGATAAGAATCGAAGTGGAGCTTGAGCTATTAGTGAGCAGCTTGGTTTATTTGTCAAAGGATATTATCAAGGCTAAGGCACATGTTGACTTCCATGTCAGTAATATTTGCAAGTGCAAATCAAGTCCAGTTATGCACAACAGTTTATTTGTTTGTGAGTTACCATAGATTAATTATTGCTTTCCCACTTGTTTCCAGTGTGGCCCAGATCATTTTTCCATTCATCTTCAGTAATATTTATCTATGTTTTTCAACATTAAAATTTTCTTAATTCATATCATTGTATCTGAATCTTTGAAAGCCTATCAATTGTTCTATATATCAAAAAAAAAAAAACCTCAGGAATGGTCTGGTCAGCATCGAGTAATCAGGGTAATGCCAAATACACCTTCGGCTGTTGGAGAAGCAGCATCAGGTAATAATATCTACTTTTTGTTTGCATTGCCTTTCTGGAAGCATTGATAAATTATTTTGTCATAAATATTGCTTTTCTATCTAGATGCTTGTTATATAAATGTTTGTGATTATGAGAATCTGAGATGGTAGGTGCTTGTGATGCAGATTTCTGCTTTGTTAGAAAACATATTGAATGCAACATAGGAAAATGTAAATTTATTTTTAAGTTCCTAATTTGTTAACATATGTTGTTTTATTTCATTAAATTTATATTCCCTAGTCCAAAGTGTAAAGGTTGTTCAACAAATGTGTATGACTAAGCATCTCAAAGCTTAAACATTCTTCATGATTTCATGTGACGCATTTAAGCAATGTCTGCAATTTCGTACCGTACCGGAGTTTCGACGTTCGCTCGGTACGGTACGAAACTGTATACCGAGCGGTATACCGTTCGGTATACTGCTTGGTGTATATATATATATATATATATATATATATGCGACGTCGCCTCTCTCTTCTCCCAGGCGAAGCGACGTCGCCTCGCTTATATATATATTTATATATAAATTAATATATATGTACATATAAAAGATTATATATTTATATTTATATATATATATATTTATTTAAAAGGCGATGTCGCCTCGTTTATTTAAATATATAAATATATATATATAATCATATATATATATAATCTGAAAAAGGCGACGTCGCATCACCTCGGCCATGTCGCCAAATGTCGCCTTTTTCTAATATATATATATATATATATATATATATATATATATTATTTTATTTTATTTTATTATTTTTTTCGTTCCATCCGTTAGCGGGCGGTCCGCGTACCGGTATGTCGTCGGACCAGTATGTACCGCCCGTACCGGTCGGTATCATTCAGTATTGCCTACCTTGCATTTAAGAGCTGGATTTTGCCTCCAGCTTGCAATGAGTGCATCAACTTGGCCAAAGCTAATGAAGTGCATGACAATTTCATGATTAAATTTTACTACACGAGGAATTGTACTGTAACATGTTACTATTTACTAAATCTGAGTTGACTAAAAGTTGAAGCACACCTTGTATTTCATCATTGGTTAAAAAGAACTGAGGCTGTTAAACTTAAAAGGGGATTCATATAATATCCTTGATTTTTGTCTGCTTAATAACTTTTACCAGAGGATCTTTTTTTTTTTGTGTAACTAAGGCATATTTGAGAAATTCATATTACTTAGAAATTTGTTTTAGTCTAGTCTGATTATGACAAATGTGAGAATGATATCTGAATTTGTTACGCTGGCTATTTATTGTTGATATGAATTTTTTGTGATCACGAGAAATAATTTGCAAGGAAATTGTCAAAGTGATAGCATATAAATAGTTCTGTACACTATTTTGGTTATATGCTTTTCTTTTTCTTGTTATGCATAACATTGTGCTTTGTTTCAGACGTCACCAGTTACAAAGACAGTCAGTTCTCTTTTCAATCATAAGTCAATTGATTGCCATGGCATGACTTGGTCATCAAAAACAGAAAAGAATTTATATACCAATAACAAAGCATTTACTGGTTTTTGGTTGAAGAACTAGGTAAGTTAAATGTTCAATGAACTCGATATATATTTCAAAAAATAATATTTTTGAGATGGATCAATTGCAAAACTAATAAGGCAATATCAGGTGTACATAAAATTGGAAGGCCTAGAAAGAAAGGAATTATCTAAGGTTATGGAAGCTGTGACAGAGGATTTCCAGGAGCTTTTGGATTAGACATTGTTGTCACCATTGATGTTACTTGTTGGCGATTTTAAATCCAACCTTCAAAATTAGTTGGTTGATGGTTATCCGCATGGTGATCAAACAATGAAATGACATTTCTCTACATCAACCTTTTCACACTTCTTGCGGTAATGAAATAGATTAATGCCTTTCACTTTAAGATTATTGCTTTCAGTCAACTTTTTTCTTGATCCTTAGAAAAATCTTAAATTTCAAATGGAGAAGTTCAATCATTGTTGGCACACTAAAATTCCATTGAAAGCTTCTAGATGAGGAAGAAAGGACAAGAGATGGTGTGCTTCCAAGGTTGCCTTGCCTCATGCCCGCATGAAAGCATTGGTGCCCACCTTTCCCCCCTGTCCTTTCCTTTCTCATTCACCACTGTTCAATATAGGTATATGCTAGTGTTCTTTAATTTTCACCTCCCAACTTCTTTTCTTATTTCCTTTTATTTTTTGTTTTCTTATAAGTTCATCATATGCCACAAGTCCACTTCCCTTTATCACTCAAGCTCCTGATTGCATGCATTTGTCCAACATGGCGTTGATGCGGCAGATCCTTAGGCATGGGGTTCATTGGAGAAAATGAAACCCTGTGCTCGACACTTGACCATTCATTTTAGTGTAATGCTATTCATCAACTTACCATCTCTTCGTTTCTAGTATACTTTGGAAAGAAAATGAATTTTGACTTATCATCTCGACCTGTTTGAAAGAAACAAAAAGTGAATATATATATATATATATATATATATATATATATATATATA